GAAGTGGGAGACGGAGGGAGAGGAGAGTGGCCTCCTCTGAGCTGAGAGTGGCCGAGGTGGAGGGAAGGGTGCAGGTGCATCTGCCTCTACATACGCACGCCGCTCTGGGCAGATATCTGAGTCACGAGACTACAAGGGGACGTTGTCAACAAAAAGATTCAAACTGGTGAATTAGGTCTGTTTTTCTAAATTAATTTGTGGACACACAGGCCGGAGGATCAGCTGCCCTGTCAACAGGCTCCTCAGAGCCTGAGACTCTCCTCTGGAAATGACCGAATATATTTCTGGGATGAGTGAACAGGGGAAAGGACACCATGTAAAAAGTGCACACTTTGAATCTCACTACAGCCTTATCTGAAAGCAGGACCTCTTATATTTATGCTGTCCTGGGCAAGTTGATTGATTTTGGCCGGTAATGCAAGGTTTTGTGTTTCAATGTGTTTTAAGCCCAAAAAAGGCAAACATGTCTCTCCAGACAGTAAAAAGCTGTCACATATGGGACATCTGGGGTTCGACCCTCCAAAAAGGGCTAATCACGATGACAAGAGGAACAACAGAAGTTAAACTCCTCTTCAGGACTGATAAATAAAGCATTCGTCCTTACAGGATAAAAGGCTTGAATTTGATAAAAAGGTCTTCCCAGAATATTGAGAGCTTGAATTTTTGTCATTTGTTGCCGCTATTTTTTCCTAAGTTTTGTTGTAAAACAACTAATGATTAAGCTTGAAGAGAGACTGGGTCATTAGCAACTGTCTGTGATTAACAATGAATGTTAAACAATCAAAAGATGATGGGAAAGTCCTCCTAGATGTCATTATTTTGTAGAGGTGGGTGGCTCACTATGGGAGTGACGTCTTGTGTGATTGACTCTCGATGTGTTGAATCTATTATAGAAAACTATTCAGCTAGTGTACACCCACACACAGAATAATCCCCACGCTGGACTGTGGGTAGGTCAGATGGTGTTTGCTGCTCCCTCATATAGGAGAAGTGTTAAAGATGGGTTTAAAAAAAGACACGGTTTCCTGGCAACGCGTTATGACGGTTAATGAACAGACGAGAACGTTCAGGGTTTGAGTGAATCAGAAAAGACAAGGGCTGATTCACAATGATTCTTAGTTGGTTATCAATCGGGATTTTGTCGGTGGTTATAATCCCAGAATCAGGTCAGTTGCACAGATGATGACTTCTGTTTCCAAGCTCTCCTGCCCACTTCTTTTCCTTTGCAATCCAAGTGATTCACTGTTGTACGATTTTCTCAGTGTTTCCAAAAAGGTCAGATACAGCGGAGTATGTGGGAGTGACAGCCAACAGTTAAATCCACAAGGTGTAAAAACTATGTAGTAAGCTAAATATTACACAGCATGAATCATTATACTTTGAATTGTGGGGGGTTTATTTCTAGAAGGATGACAATAGTTAATTTGGTTATAATGATTATCATCACCAGGACAGTATTCATCACAACTTATGATTTCTAGATCTGTTTCTGCTTTACAGTTTGTAAATAAATTTGATATTTGTGCAGTAATGTAGCAATTATGGATATTAGTCATTTGCAATATCAATGTTTTCAATTACAACATGTTGCAAAAGATTGAACTTTTAACGGACTTTATTAACAACTGCATTCTCTACTGGTTACATAGTCTTCCTATCAACAAATATATGAGTGATTTCTTAAAAAATATTAAAAAAATGGGTGTAAGCTAGAAACAGATTCTGGAATGATAGAACTCTGAATAAAAACTTGAACATAAGGCAGCAGGATTGCATGCAAATGATGTGTATATGTGTGAGCGGTGTGTGGGTGACTTGTACTGTACAAACGTTTTGTACTAAAACTGGTTTCAGCGTGTCTGATATCAGCACATTTTCCACACGAGTGCTGCAGGGCTTCGGTTTGTGGTTCTTAACGTTGTTTCAGCCAACTGCTGTAGCTATTGCTGTCGTGTACAACATCTATATTCATATAAACAATTCAAATGAATAGAAGTGCCCATTGTACCACTAGTGACACTAATCAGCTGCACCTCAATAGAGGAAATCTGTGGCATTGTTTTGAAGCTGATGAACAATAGGATGCAGAATGAAATCGCACATTTTTAAATGTCAAATATTCCACAGTTCTTCATAAAACCTTTAAATCCACAATGGATATTTCCATTTTTTTTGCTGCCAACCACTGTGATGCTGCTAATCTTTCCTGCTACAGTCAAATATCTACACATTAGCATGCTGAGTGAGATATCTAAGCACACGCCTCATGCAAATACACCCCCTTCTAGATGTTAAGAGGAAGAGGGGGAGGAAGGCCCCCGGGTCACCAGAGACTCGACCTTCCCCGGAGGCTCGTGCTGCAGCTGCTTTTTTTCTCAGATGGACAATGGTCAGCGACTGTGACCGTGAATTGAGTCGTTCTATCGCCCGCGTGCAGGTAAATCCACCTGACGGCTGCTTGACATTTAATCGTTAGTGAGTCTGAGGCAGCAGAGAGGAGAGGATGGAGAGGATGGAGAGGATGGAGAAGATGGAGAGGATGGAGAGGGAGGATGCTGCACTACGGGTACCAAGACGGCTTGCTCCACATATGCGTCTAAAAATGAAACGCAACCCCCCCTCCACCCTCCACCCCCCCCCCAGCCTGTCAGTCTGTGGATCAGCTCTCTGCCTACCATGGATCGGCTGTCCTCCGAGCATCGACAGCTCCCAGAATCAGGCTGAGGAGGCGAAAACCGCGCGCGGACATTCAATAAAATGAACGCGACAGCTGCCACGCGAGCACAAAATCTGAGCGATGTAATTCGAGATGGATGTCTTTAGAAATGAGAGCCTTTAAACGGCGTTTCCTACCTCCACGCTGTCCTCTGTTGGCCACCCGGGGAGGATGGAGGATGGAGGCGGGGAGCAGGTGCAGGGATGCGGCGAAAGCGTCCAGGGGGGGGGGGATAAAAAAAGCAAGCCATCATCGCTTTGACTCCCGATACACCACAGCCAACGAACCCCACCGACTGCGCTTACCCGTTTTGACCGGGATGCGGCTCTTGTAGCGGATGCTGGCCGTCATGTTTGACCGCTCTCCTCCTCCTGGACCTCACTGAAGCGCCGGCTCGCCTCGCCTCCAGAACCCGGGACGGACACCAGGGGGGCGGGCTGAGCCGGAGGATGGAAACCCCTCCTCCTCCTCCTCTTCCTCTTCTTCCTCCTCCTCCTCTCCCAGCCCCGTACTGCAGCTCTCCACCAGCAGGGGGCCCAACAAACAGCACTGACATCTAGATATCTATTTTCCTTAAAAAAGTTAAGATGAGTTTCCTCGTTTTAGAGGGTGAGTTTGACTGGATCCTACAAATAGTGGAGAATAGGCTACACCGATTTCTCTATAATTAAACACAAAGAGACACAGGAGGAGAAAGCTTCTAACAAAAAAACAAAAAAAAAACTACTCACAACTTTGGTTTTCGTACATTTTATTTCAGAGAAACACAAAAGAAACAACACCACTGACAAGGTTAAGAAATATTCTGTTTACTCAAGCAAAAGAAACAAAAAACAAAAATAATGCCAATGGCACATCAGTGACAGTGCAGTTCACAGCAATGCTGGAGAGAATTTGGGGTTTCTACTCTGCTGCTCACGGAGAGCTGGAGGGAGTGAAATGACCAGTAAAATTGTGCAATGTGTGATTATTAATGGGGAAGGCATGAGCACAGTATGTTAAGAAACTTGACTTGTAGTGTACAAACAGGCCATTTGACACATTATATGACATAACGGAGGAAAACATGGACATACACACATACCGTAAGTGATGCATTTCATTAGTTTACAGCCTGCAGTTTGGCACAGACAAGAAGATTAAATCTAGATAAATACTAAAACATTATAAAGTCTGGTTGTTTCCTGCTTAATAGAGAGGGATTAGATTTCAATGTTGGCAGCAAAATTGGAAGTTAATCAGCATTCACACAGAAAAAAACAAAACAACTTTCTTTGTTCTGGACACTGTTTTCCGTGCTCAGCCTGAGGCAAACAGAAGCTGACGAGCTGAGGCCGTCCACAGATCAGAAGCTGGTGCTTTTGGAGTAAAAACATGGTAGAAAAAAAACAAAACAAAAACCTGACAGAAAAACAAATGGAAACAGATGCTTCCTGATTCCAGAACTTGCAAAAAGCTCCCAACTCACCTATTATTTTTGTAAACATGAGTGGGAAGGCAATGCCTCTTAGTACCGTTGTCTCTGGCAATTGTGTGTGCGACAGTATAAAAGTCAAAGGCCAAAAAGCGGATAAATGTCAAAGCTAGTACAAACTAGTGTTTTCCATTGATTGAACTGTTAGTGAAAATGTAGAACAGGAAAACAACAAATACAAAAACTATGAGAAGCTCCAGACAGCTGATGGATGGAGTGGTCTGGAGGGAAAGAAAAGGAGGAAGTGATGCAGATGATGTGGTCCGGAAACCTGATCTTCTAGTGTGACTGAAGGATGGTGGCAGGAAGGGTTGGACGACCATGTGTGAGTGTGTGCGTGCGTGTGTGTGTATGTGTGTAAGGATTAAGATCAGCACGCTTTCCTTGGGCTGGAACGCTTTCACTCGTCTGATTTCATCTTCATCTGTGCCTGCATCTGGGCGATCATCTCCTGCATGCGCCTCAGCTGCAGAGGGAGCAGGATCATCAGCAAAATGTCAGAAAAGAGTGTTCTTTTGGTCCTTTTTCAACATTATGAGATTTTTTTTTACAGACAACAGTTGTTCTCTTTTTCATCTAAGCATCGAGATGTGCAGGACGCATTCATCTAACACTTCGGAAAACAACATTTATTTAACAATAACATCTACAACTTAATGAAACATAATTTAAGTTTGTCAGTCGGTTAACACTGCGCTGTTATGAACAAAGCTTAAGGTAATCACTACTATGAAGAGTAAATGAAGGAATTATTTAGATTGTGTGGCAAATGGAGAGTATATACACAACTTAATACAACGTATGAATGATGTGGAAACTGTAAAAACAAATGCCGATGCAGGAGACAGGTAACTAATCTGGAAAAGCAAACAAGTTTTCACAGAACTTCTGCTGTGTCTACGCCATCTAGTGGCTGAGCATGTAACTTCAGGTCAGGTAATCTGTTGAGAGAAAACTATGCACTATTCATTCTGGTAGCCAAAATCCAGCTAAATAAGTTCTTTGAGCAGCCCACTGCATCTAACAAAACAAAGGGGCAGAAGCCAGATAAGGAAATAGGATTGAGCTTTGTTCTAAGCCTCTTAGGGCATCGTTACAACATCAAAGTGATGTGATGCTGGACGCAGTGCTGTAAACATAAATTCATTAGAGATTAATTAGGATTAAAATATTAAGTAAAGCAGGACATTAATCAAGGTTAAATAAAGGCAAACAGAGAAACTGAAAACTATTTTTCATTTAAAAGCAGAGCAAGGAAACTCAACAGTTGCTTTTTAAATGTACGTATTATTTAATCTGAATTACTGTGGGTGCTCTGTTGTATGGTTGCCTCTAAATATTTCAGAGTCTTTGAGTTGGATTAAAATAAAATGCAGAAGTAGTGCAGTAGCCTTAGTTTAGTTCATATCAAATGCAATGGTTTCAAAACTAATTTAATCTTTTTTATCTCTAAGATTGTTCACAGTCATAAATGCATCTCGCTGTCTGTCCAAGACTTTCTCTCCTCATTTGTATAAATGTGTTTATTTCTGTTGTTGATATTGTTTGAAATTCGGAATTTTTTAATACTGCTCTGTAATGTCAATAAAGGCACTGAGCTATTTCAAAGTGGTGTCTGTGGACTGGATGTGAAACAGTGTCTCTAGTAATGTTCAGGTAAAAAATCTCCCTCTAACTTTCAATTGTACTTTGCTAGGTTAGAAGTACAAGAAGTTCCCACTATTTAATTGCTTCTTCAGTTATTGGAAAAAGCACGACTCTTTCTAGGAATATCTCCAAAACACAATAATTGCTCAACAGTTCCTTTCTACAGACTTAAAACGGAAATTATGTGTAGATAAATGAAGCGCTGTCCCTGCCCTCCTGTGTCATTCCCACAATAAAACCCTGGTGGGATATCCATGAAGGAAATGATGGCATATCCTGCCAGGGCACATTGTTTACCAACAGCTCGGACTGAACCGGGCCTGCTCTTAATGGTGTGCTCTGCAGCAGTAACACAAACAGGGCGATCAGGAAACGGGTTATAGCCTGATGACATCAAGGCTCCATGGCCCAGAGGGTAAGCAATACCTCACAATATGAAGAATGAGCCCCTGAGCTGTAACAATCACAACAGCTTAGCTCTTTAGGTCACAAAAATGGTAGGACAGCCTGCCTTTGTTTAACCCCTCCACTTGTTTTCAGCACAGCTAAGACGTCATTGCTCCTAGAAACACCGGAAAAGTGCGACTTGATACACCTCGTTTGCATCATTGTGCTCTTACCTCCATTTCTTTCTGCCGCAGGATCTGGTCCTTGTCTACCTCATCCTCGTCCACAGCGCTGAAAGAATGGTGGGGGAAAAAACTAAATATCATGACATCTGGTCAAAACAATGCAGCTCGGCTGCTGATATGAAGCAGAATCTCACCTGCCCGCCCGTTTCAGCCTCTCAGAGCGGAAGTTCTCATAATGCAGATCCTGAGTTACTTCCTGGAGGTCTTGCATGTGGGTCCTAAAACAAACAGACATGCAATTACATACTCACACACTAGAGGGCAGTAAAGCTCTTACTCTACACCTTATTTTACACCCAGGGACTTGTTCAACAAAGTTGAGGAAGCAGAAATGTTACAAGTTTTTAAATCCTTTAACTTTTAATTACAAAGGGTACTCACACAAGCATGGTGCGCAGTTTAAGGAAGTCATTGTGCTCGGGATTCTCAACCTCCACCACTCCCCAGGGATAAAGGCGACCTCGAATCTTCTTCCCCTTCACCTCAATCAGCTGGTTGGACCCAATCACAGCAAAGGGGATGCTCGCCTGGAAAAAGAGGCTAAAGGTCAAAGTATGGCCTGAGAGAGAAAGCAAGTAGAAGAGATGCGGAAAATCAAGGTATCAGAGAGAAGGGGTGGGGTGGGGACAGGATGAAAGCAGTATTGGGAAAATTATCTTCCCTTCACCTTCAGGACTCTGGTCTGCTCTTTGAACTCCTCATCCTCGTCAGAGTCGGCATCGGGGAGCTGATAAATCTTGATCCCGTGCTCGGCAATCTCATCCAGCACCTGCGGGGTTAAAGCCAGACTTTTGCTTAACTTAAAGCGAACTAAGACAGTGAGGTGGATGCGGCACTGGTTCCGCCAGAGCACAGGCTATCGCAACTATTCAGAAAGAGTTAGAAAACGGGTGGTTCCACAGAGGAGTGTTTACATTGCACGGACAAAATGATAGCTTCTGCTCTGACCCTCACACAGGAAGGCTGGAAGCTCCCAGCAGTAATATGAGGGTGTGGACGAGCAACTGTTGTTGCAGCAACACTTTTAATTAAAGTCCTGCCGTGAAGGAAAAGCGGGACGCGATTAGAGGAGGAGACAGGTGTGTGCGCTCTCAAGAGCCCAAAGAATCAGAAACGAACGTTCTCACCCTGGCTTTTCTGTGTGTCCTTCTCCGACCGGTGAAGAAACAAGTTATAACAAAGGAGCTTTTTTCTCCTGCACCTCCGAGACAGATGTCAGTATTTATTATTCTAAAGATCAAAGCTGCATTTTTCTTTTGTTTTCTCAAGTGCTGAATTTATACATGCACAATGTGGTCTTGTGTAATGCAGCCAAAACATGTCATTTGTTGTTTCTGGGGACTTTCATGTACTGTAGGGCATAATGGGACAGTAATGAGTCAGCCAGGAGCCTAGGAAGTGAGCACAGCTTTTCCTACGGAGCACAGCTCCTGTTTGATTCCTTTTCATGGCGGTCATCTTGTTTTCTTAGCCAGCTCTGTGCACGGCGTGTGTGAGATAGTGTGTGTGTGGGGTGAGTTGGGGCATTGTTGTGGGGCAGATCTAAAAACAAACAGGCTTCGCAGGACTCAGAGGAGAGCGTGACACCAGAGCAGAGACTTCTTTTCCCTTGTGAGCTCAAACACAAACGATGTGCAGAAGCCGCCAGAGTGCTGGGGCTGGATAAACAGAACTGGTGGGGCAGCACATGAAGAATTTGGGAAAACTGTACAGTCACTGGGGAAAATAAACACATGTCAAACAATTACCGGAAAAAATGGGGAAAACAACAAATCCAGTCACACACAAGCAGATAAGAGAGACATCCAGATGAGATATGATAGCAATAGAACAAAAACTCAAAGTGAATCCGGTGAAATGAACAAGCGAGCAAGATTAGTTATTTTTTAAGCAAGTGTGTAGATGCCATTAAATATTTCTAACTTTACCAGACCACTGTATAAAAAAACAAGACTGTTGTCTGCCATCTTCAGTCTTCAGACCCCGTTAATCCTAATTGGCTGTTTACCTGAATTTATTCTGCCCCGTAATGTGTGCTTAGTACTGCCCGACACCTATAATCAAGACCTCTCAGGTATGATGGGCTGTCAAAATTATTGCCTGCTCCAAATCCCTGTCGTCTGCCCCTGATTTACTCTACACAATATAGGCCTTAATTCCTAATGTTACACCACACTCTCCTTGAAGGAGTTGTATATTTTAGTTGGCAAGGGGGGATTGGCAGTTGGAGCAATTTCGATTTTATGACCATCCTGTTGAACTGAAGTACACCGCTCAGCCCCACATCCATTTACGCTGTTATGGTTGGCTGTGGAAGCCAACGGCACGCTGTCAGTGTGATGGATAAACAGGGTCACACACACACTCTGCCTTACAATTATTCAGATGATTTTTAAAATGTTTTTAAAAAAAGTCTGTTTATGTTTCTGGCTCACGTGGCACAAAGTGAGGTATTGCTAGAGGAATTCATTTAATATCAGCCTCCACCCTCACAATTCAAGTCTGAGGGTGGAGGCTGATGCAAGTCAGTTCAGGTTAGAAATGAGATAAATGGCAGATGAATCATAGCAAACGTATATTTCCAAAGAAAAGTCAAGGTTACCCAGTACTCAGAATAGCATTACCACTACAGCGGTAATTATATGTAGGTCTTACGTTGGGCCCAAATATAGAATAGCTCCAGGTCTTTATATAGAAATAATTAGGTGGGATAATGTTGTGGAAGACTTGACTAAGCATTTTTTTTTTCGTGACAACACAGCTGATTGTGCCCAAACCTCCAATCATAATGAAACTAGGTGCAAGCCCGTCATTACAGGAATTAACATTTACACCACGTCAACCTGCCAGAGGAAAAATATTTTCAGGACTGCTTTACTCTCTCAAGAAACCCACAAAAACATGAATGACTAAAACGGCTGCTTAAGGAGTTCTTGTTATTCAGTGACGAACATCGGGGGAGGGAAAAGGTAACGATCTGCCAAAATGAAAAATAAAAAAAGGCGCAAAATCACAATGACATTTTTCAAATGTGACTCTGGAGGACAGAACTGAGCCTTGGCTGAAGTGGCATGGTGTTCACATCCATTAAACCAACTCCGTAACAGGGAACAATACTTGGAAGTAGTAACATGGACAAGAGCATTCCTAGAAAATCAACAATGGGGACAAGCAGGAGGAGTAGAAAAAAAAAAGAATTCAATTAAAAGACAAAAAAATAAATATGAAGGACATCTTGAATATGAAACCAACACTGGGTACCGAAGAGGGAGAAGGGTGGCATAACTTTGAAGTAACATTTATGTAACCATATAACTCTCTATGGGCTTTGGAAGTCTGAGCACGGGAATTAAATTACCATTAAGTAGTGTATCTAACCAGCTTTCAGACTCATTCAGAGAAAATGCCTAATCCGTTTCAAATGCTCTTTAAAAAAACAAACTTTTATTTCTCTCTGAATATCGGTTTGTTCCATCTATTCGTTAAATGTGTACAATGCTTTCACCAAGAGAAAAGGGAAAGCACAGACAACCTCTGGAAGGATGGAGCCACTGGTGGGACAATTGTTATGAGGCTAATGGATGGGGGCCCTGTTTTTCCTAGGCTGAAGAATTTATTAAAAGAAAATCCTAGTCATGGAGATTGCTCTGCTGCTTAATCAGATTCCAGTAGGGCCAAACATCTACTTACTTTGTACCCTATAAATCCATGCATTCACTTCTATGCTAAATCTAAATCACTTCTCATGCTACGAAAAACTGTGACTTTCAGGGGTGTAATTAGGCCAGTGTTGTGTCTACGCATTATGGACAATGCAGCAAAGAACCCATTCAGTTCCAAAATACTTAGTTTAGGTACTTTGTCATAAACAGCTTAAAGACACCTAATTTGTCTCCTTTCCTTTGGACACATTTTAAAAAAAAAAACATAACAGAGTTGGGCGAACCCCTATTTGCAAAAAACGTTGTGATTTCCAAGGAGCAGTAAAGTAAAAACGTGGCATGTCTCTTATCTCAGCAGTGTGCCATTTAGAAGTATGAAGATGCTAAATAAGCAGAGGGCTTAACCATGTCAAAAAATTATGCCTGCAAGAAAAAAATCCAACAAAGCCCTCACACTGGACCTGAAAGTAACAACTGGAGATTTAGTTGATGCGTACACAGTCCAATAAAGCCCCATTAGAAATTATCTCCATGGAAGTATAGGAGTCAGGCCACGTTTAAGGAAGAAAAACGGGGGGAAAAACTGAGGTGTGTCAAATGGCACCTTTGGACTGAAGTCAGTGGCTACTGGTCTGCGCAGGTGGCCCAGTACAGCAACAAGTCTGACTGTTGGAAATACAAGATTACAAAAGGCATAACGGAGGTCTGGCAATGCAAAATGAGAAGCTGATTTCTTGCCTGAATGTAACTACCACTCTTTAGTTTCCTAACTTAATTTGCTAACCTCAAGGCACATGAGAACAAATGCTTCTCCCTTGCCAGGAGACGCTTGGGACCAATCGGCTCTCTCCTCCCTGCAGGGAGCCAGACGGGGGGGAGGGAGCCCCAACAATACCTGATCTCAGGGGGTCAGAGGGATTTAGGTCTCATACCAGCTTCTTGCACAAACACACACTTTTGCATCCACATATCTGTAGCTGACTGCTGTCTCCCTTGTGAACTGGGATAATCTGCTATGAGGAGGAAAAAAAGAGATTGTCCATTACGAATGCAGAGCTTTGAAGCCCCAGGAAGTGGTGAGTCACCAAATTGGAAGGGAGGGGGGGGGCATTCCTAAAGCTGTAAATCAAATTGATACATAACGAAGAAGACTGAATCATCCATCCATCCATCCATTATCAATACCGCTTATTCCCTGTTGGGGTCGCGGGGGGAACTGGAGCCTATCCCAGTGGTCAACGGGCGAGAGGCAGGGTACACCCTGGACAGTCCGCCAGTCCATCGCAGGGCCACACAGAGACACACAAGGACAAACAACCACTCACACTCACATTCACTCCTAAGGGCAATTTCCCCAATCTCCAACCAACCTAACATGCAGGTTTTTGGACTGTGGGAGGAAGCCGGAGAACCCGGAGAGAACCCACGCAGACACAGGGAGAACATGCAAACTCCACCCAGAAAGGTCCTGGTTCCCCCGGGATTCGAACCCAGAACCCTCTTGCTGGGAGGCGACAGTGCTAACCACCACACCACTGTGCCGCCAAGACTGAATCAAAGGCTTGATATTGCTATTGCTGGAAAATACAGTATAGTATTAGTAAAGCGCAGGACCAGGGCTACATGAAGGCCCCATATTAGTTACAATACTCCAAATCCACACCCTCTCAGAATCCTATTGTTTAAGCTATGTATTAGTACAGTTGAGACCACCCACCTCTCCGCTGATCAAAGACCATGTAAAGAAACAATCGGGCTATTCATGTAAGCCTGTATTTAAGTGAGATTTAGAAGGGGACAGTGTAAGTTTAGGATTTGAACCACAAATCAGGTTCAACATCAAACATAAAAGAAATGTCACAGCGGCAGGAGTCAGGTTGAATTTGCTTCTTCTGAGAACAAAGGATTCTGAATGATAAAATAGTTCGCTCCATGCGGAAAGCAGATATTTATTGTTCCAAAATCAGTTGTGATGTGGAGCATGCCCTGGTACAATGACCGCAGGAGGGCAGAAAAATAAATACATCCGCGTGTTTGAACACTGGCAGGAAAAGGGCCAAGCACAAGACCTAAAACAAGAGCAAGCCCGAATTAAGTCATCAGCCTCCAACCATTACTTCAACTTTACTCCAACCTTTACTGTGGCTCCAGTCCAGGAGGTACAATGAAAGAATACTTTCAATGACATATATTATTCCACTCAGTGCAAACATACTATCATTAACCCTTTTTAATGTGGCAGCCTGGAATTCTTTGCTAGAAAGTTCTGGCAGCTTGGGGTTAACCCTCTGAATTAAAAATGTCACTGACACCTAAAATTAAAAAGCAGCTGCTAGAACTACGCATGGAAGATGTGTCAAGTATGGAAGCTGATGAGCAAGGAAACAGGAATGGCTTTTACTGGATAGGAGACAGCAGGGATGAGCAGGTAAGGGTTGTTCCATTAGGCCGGCAGAGAGAGGAAAGGAGATGTCAATCGGTGTCTGGATGACAGGAGGAAAAGAAGGAATAGTTACTTTCTTCTTCTGATCCGAGTTCTCCAACACTTTCCAAACTCTAGGCTGGCTTCCATTAACTTTTCATTCTCATCGAGTAAGTCCTCAATTATTTGCACAAGTAACTATGAAAAAGACAGCCCGATTGCTAACTTTAAAACTTTGTGTGCTGCCAAATTGCAGATGATTTTCTGGGATGAATTTAACTAAAGAACTAAATACTATGAAATACACAAAACTAGTTGGCGACCCAAAAGCTCCTAACTTCCAACCGTCAAAACAGCTTGGCATCTCTAACTCATTCAACCAGAATTCCAGTCCAAACCAGTTGTGCACTCTATGTTCAAACAGAAAACAGCTTGTAAAGAATTTTGAGACCAAAGCCTCATACAGGATATGACTGTAAGGTCCCAGACTGAGAGGATCAGCCCCTCAATATACCCTCCTTAGGGCAACTTATGAGTCGGAGACCACAGCAACCCTGGAGAAGGAAATTGGCATTAGAGAGCATGAAAAAAGGGGAGGAGACAAAAGGTAGACGGATAAAGAAAGAGGCTGCTGCGCAAGGCACTGCCTGGAAAGGAAGGATGAGAGGCAAGCAGAACTAAGGGGATGAGAGGTATATGTTGGGTGGTTTGTTCACTATGTCCGTCAGGTCTGAGCCTTGCAGGCCAGCAGGTTGCTTCTTGTCAGTGGAACAGATTTGAAACATTGCAGGAAACTTATATTGTTCTATACAAGCTGTTTCCCCCTAATAATAACAAAAAGAACTTGAAAAGCACTGAGGAAAAGAGGGAGGGAGGGGGGGAAAATGTACAATGAAATAAATACCACATAACGGTGAGAAAGTGCCCTGCAGAAAACAAACTAATAAATCGTGAGGGCGAAGCTCTCAAGGCTTATCAATCATACTCACACACTCGGGTCTCTGGCAGCTTTTTGGCTGCCGGTGGACCTCAAAGGGAAACCTGGTGCCCCATTTCGCTGTAAAGGACTGCGCGGTGAGATTCGGGCATGTATACCTAAGAGCCACTTCGGCTAATCAGATCAAACCAGCAAACAGAGCCAGGTCCCCTGAGACACTTAATAGAGATGAATGGTGTTTCTATGCTTCGCACTGACAAAGACTGTTTCCACATGAGCAGGTTATTGTGACAAATTAGTAACGTCATTACCTAAAATACCTTATTCATCAAAAATAGCCAAATCCCCTGAAAATACCAGATAGAAGTTTGTACTTAATGGCTCAACGTATCGTTTAGGAGGACGAGCTTAACTTAACTGTAAATGAATTCTTGGAAAAAGTTACAATAGGGCCTCCAAGTAAAACTGAAATACACTGATCTGTACAGCTGTTCTGAACAGCACTGTATACAAACACAGATAAATGATAAGTTGTGTATGCTCAAACTGTGACTGCTCAAGAGATACAGGCGTTTATCTGCCCTCCTTAGAGACATTCAATGGCATCTTAAAACATAGGGAAGATAGCTCAATTAGGACTTTGCTTTTCCTGACAATAATGGGTTTTACAGGAACTTACTGACACAAGACTGGTTTGAGTGTATAACAGAAAAAAAAAATTATCAGATTTTATAGCAGAGAGATTTGATAAAAAAAGTTATTCGACCATGTGTGTGTGAGAGTGTGTGTGTACGTGCACGACCACTCCCACAGGATGGGAAATGTCTGTTAGGAGAACACTTAGTGGAGCATGTGAACTAAATGTTGGACTAATAGCATTGTGGACAGTTAAACTGAAAGAGATCAGATCAAAATACTTGTGGACAATGTTTCCACTGCTCCACTTTCACTTTTCCTGAGTCACTAAATCTGGCTACTCACGTATAGTAAATAATAAAAATGATACTTAAAATGTTTGTCTACTATCTGCCAGCCGGATCAGAAAGCCACAGTGCATGGGGGTTTTCTGTGGTTTAAGGTGGGACTCTTGGTGACGGGAAACATGGTTTTTTTCAAAGTAAATGCCGAAGGAAAACTTTGAAAATTTAGGGAGGGCTAAAAAAAAAAAAAAAAAAAAGTCAACACCAGTCAACACTAGGAGAGAAAAACATATGTTGGTCAACATACAAAAAAAGAACTGTTATTATTTGAAGGTACTCTGATACAGTGAGAAAGGAAGAAGAGTATGAGTCCTGAGTGAAGACCTTTGGTTTTGACAGGACGTTGCATGAAGCCACTGGGCTGTAGACGCACAGGATAAAACAGCTTGGCTGCTCGAGAGAACAGAGCAGACCTGGACTGTCATCAGACAATGAGCCAGATGCCTGCCAGATCACCGCGTCCCAGAGCTGACTGAGGGGCAGGTGGGAGGTGGGGAGGCAGGTTGACTTCCTATCAACAAAGCTTCGTGTGGCCTTTGATGAAACTTTCTTGTGCTTACTACTTCATACAACGACAATATTTCTGCACGAGGATTTTCAGTCTTGGTTAATACACAGAGTATTAGCTTACAATTACTTTCTGAGTTAACCGATTTGTATGTCAAATGTGACTGGAACTACCCTGTAACTCCTGATTAAACAGCTTCCCAGAGTCTGGAGCCTCACATATCTAATGTACATCTATTAGATCAGAATAATATGAATGAATATGAGTGATAAGTTACACAAAAGTATGAAAGGACAAATTTCCTACTGAATGGAACCTGCCACGCCAGACCCACTGCTTCAAATCGGTGAGGGAGAGTAAGCAGCTCGACTTTGACTATCCACGCCTCTGAACCTTTACACATCACATGACGCGCATAAGCCCCAGCTTGAAAAGGCACATGTGAAAATGGGCTACAGAGGCAGGAAATCCTTCTAACATAACTTTACATGTGAGAGGTTATCAGCTAAGCACACCCCTGTGTAGTGTGTGTGTGATGTGAGGTGCTAGTCGGTCCCTTTTCCTATTGGACAGCAGGAAACTGAGGAGCGTGCATCCAGGCAGACTCCTGGGTTAGTTCCAACAGGAAGTATCAGGGTTGGGTTATGATGGGATGAGACATGCTTCGTCTATATCTTATAAAACCTTGTCGGCCCCCTCCTACTGCTTCCTCTCTCTTGTTGTCTCTCTCTACCCTTTTCAACAATCTGGCAGTGTCATCAAAACAAAAGGAAGCCATACATCACTGTAATTAAAAAGAGAACAACATGCATGTCAAAACCAGTGCACACAGTTCCCCCAAAAAACAAAAACAAAAACAGATTGTTTGGAAAATCCATTTTGAGCTAAATGTGGGGAAGGATTACCATTAATCTAGAGAAGAAAGGACACCTGTGGATTAAAATAACCGGTATATTATCAAACCCACCCTTCTCTTCAGACGATCCCTCTCCTTCAGTGTCAGTGTGTCAGCCTTTGCAATGACAGGGACTATGTTGACTTTGCTGTGGATGGCCTTCATAAACTCCACATCCAGGGGCTTAAGACTGAGGAGAAGGAGAACAGAGGACAGTAAAAATAAACAGGGTGGACACCTAGGAGAAAAATCTGCCATTTATAAGCAAAGATATCACTGCTTTCAAATGTGTGGATTTGTTTATAATGAATGCTGTTTTCAAATTACCCATGTCCAAATGGAGAAATGAAATAAAAGCAGCAGTGCACCCTGTTGTCCACAATGTGCCTTCTGTTGAGTCCACTTTCATCATGGAGGTATCGTTCAAACTGATTATCAATATACTGGATGATCGTCTTGAAGCTTGTGTTAAAATAGAAAAAAAAAAAAAAAAAAGATTAACTGTAGTATTCTCAGAGCACAAGGAATAAATTTGCACTATTCTGTTATGTAGAAAGAGGCTAAGAAAGCAAAGATTAAAGACACATACACACGTACAGAGTTCGAAGGAATCCAGAAATAATATGTTAAGAACAGAAGAAGTAAGGAGTTGGGGATTAAATTTATGGGGATTTTAAAGAACTTGCGTCTCAAGTTATCACCACACCAAATTACACGCACCAGTCCTGGCTGTTGATGGCATCGCCATATCCAGGGGTGTCGACCACTGTGAGACGAAGTTTCACCCCTCTCTCTTCAATTTCTACAGTGGACGCCTCAATTTGTACAGTCCTCTCGATCTTTTCTGTGGGTTCAAAGGATGAGAGACATTCAACACAGAAACATTTAGAACAAAACACAAAATGGCTCCCCAGACAACCCCTGAGATCCTACAGTGACCCGTCTGAAGGTGGAAGATACACCTTATAAACTAAATCGTTAGTGCTTTCTGTCTCCATTGATTGACCAGGCATAGCTTGGATAACTGCTACGTTTTTCAAACGACAACAAGTCTTAAACTAAGTCAAGTCATAAGAAAGAAAGGGCCATATTTGGAGGCTGCAGCATTCCCAACATTCCTCTTAAAATAATGCTCTGCTGGAGACATTGCTACAGACCGTTCTTCATTATTACAGTGTGCATGTGTGTATGAAAGAGTGTACCTGCGGCTCCGGGGATGTAACGCTCAGGGTAGAGGTCAGTGAGAAACAGGCTGTTTATCAGTGTTGATTTGCCCAAACCAGACTCCCCTGCCACGTAAATGAAAAGAATAATGAACACGTTGTCTTTAAAGAATGCATCGCAACTGATAAAAACAAAGCTGATGACAATTACCCACCGACAACCATGAGGGTGAACTCAAACCCCTTTTTCACTGACTTTCGATGCACTTGGTTTGGGAGGTTTGCAAATCCGACATAACCTGCTGCGTCTGGGAACTGCAAGTCATAAAAAGCACACATATCTTTAGATGAGAAACTCAGGAGTTACAAACTGCCCTTTAAAGTATGTAATACATCAGATGTTAAGGGATAGCGGGATTATTAGACTATTTTGCTTCTTGATCCTTCCATCCGATAAATGAACAAAGTAACATATTAATATACTCTGTTTTTTGTAACCCTTTTTTAAAGGTTTAAACATGTGTATGTATTTCAAGTACATGAAAATGAGACTGCTGATGATGCATATTATTGAGAAATTCCAACAGGCAATAAAGTCCAGCCATCACAATTATACAGGATATCCTCTCTGGATGCTTGTGCAAGGATGTGTGCATGAGATTACGAGTGCCATGCTGTATTCAGCAGTGGCTCATTAGAAACGCCTTCTCTAGGTTCTGTTGCTTTAGCAGAATTAGATGAAAAAAAAATACAATGTTGTGACTATCTTCCTGTAACTCACCTTGGCTTTTTCTCCGGACTGCGACATTGTTACTCTTTATGGCACGTCTGAGAAACCTACGAGTGGGAAAAGATCAGAGTTTTAGTTGAACAGACACAACAGGGGGATCTCTTATCCGTCATAAAAGTTACAATGTTGATTATCAATGTCAAGCAAAACTCTCAGGTTGATATTAGATACGAATTATGCAATTGTGGAAGTATATTTCTCCTTCACCTATGCATCCTCATTCAACTATCTAGAAACGCCGACTAATACAATTTAAAAAATGAGGGGTCTTTTGCACAGATGCCTCACTCAGGACAGGCCGGACGCACCGTTCTCATTAAATTTCCAGAATGCTTTTTGTGCCCGGTGCCTCTGTCCCACTCTAGGACCCTGAACTAAACACACAGAAACAAAACCCCTCGATAGATTAGCAACACGATGACTGAGCAGGAAGAACTGGCTCCCTTTTCCCTCCAGCACACAAGCTCTTGACAACTGGAGTGTGATAAGCATTAGAAAGAGGGACGCTATCACACACTGCCAAGTGGAGATGCACTGTGATTTCAGAATGATCGCCACAGACAGAGGTGCCATGGGAACCGCATTTGATCCCTCTCTATTGGTATTCTGCCGGCATGTGACAAACACACCTTTTTGGTGTGCCTGATGGCAGATGGGGGTCAACCCTCTGCATCTAGATGAAACTGGGCACAGATCCCTCACCGTGACAGGGAGATTTCGTCAAGCTGACAGGGAGAACAATGGTGTTTATCCCTACGGTTCCTGAAGATTTTCCTATACAGTTCAGCTCAGCTGAGTGAGTAAAGACAACACGTGTCCCACCTTCGATTAACTCCAATCACTCAGGCTGGAAGAGTGCAAAGTAAAGGCACGGGGGGACCCTAATCGAAAGCAAATGAAAAAAGTATGCGACCTCGTCAGGAAATAAGGACAATTAAGAGATTTTCTGAGCACAAGTGTAACGGAAACAACTGAACACAAGGTTCATTCATGCTAATCTATCTGAGCTGAAAAAGGTAGAAAAACTTTGTAAGATTCATCTTTAGAGTCCCATAATAATGTCTTCTCAGGTTTAAGAAGTGAAACGGTTTAGAGGAAAGATGTGGGCTGGCCAACTGGCTGAATCACTGCTTAGTGCTTATGAAGTCAAATAATTGGTTTCAAGCCTAAAAACACACCAAATACAATAATTAATGTGTTTTCATTCTTAATGGACTCCTCGGCTAATGTGCCGATCCACACAAGTCCACTCATGTGCATCAAGCACATACATCCAGTGTTATTCCTCCTCAGACTCTGTGGGAACCAGCATTAGTCCAACAGCAGATTAATTAAACTGTTCCAATAACTCAGTTGTAATCTCACAAAGACAACACTACAGGACAGACAGGCGGGAGGCACACTTCAATAATGCTCTCTTAATAATGGCCATTTAATCGCCAGACTGCTGAGCTCCTTACACACACACACTAACAAAGTTTGGACCAAAAGGAGAATAGAAAAATGCCACCTGAATCAAAAAGCTAAAGTTCTTAGCATGGGGTGCCAGTTTGCAGTTGATTTATTAGCTAAAACCATGCAGGGGCAGTCATGTGAAAACTTTTTCACTTCCTGTCAGGTACTGTCAAGGGTCCACAAACAGCCCCCGGCCCCTTCCAACATGAAATCTTGAAGCGATTGTTGGCATGACAACCAAAGATCACAGAAAGAAACTTTAATGCTGCACGACACAATGAAACAAAGCATGAGTCATGTAAGTGGCCTTTAAGGGTCACAGGTAGTGGTTTTGGGCAACAGTGGCGTAACGAAGATGTGGGACTTACTTTAAGATGTAATTTGGGATTAAGGTGAGCCCTGAAGACAAGGTGTGTGTGTGTGTGTGTGTGTGTGTGTGTGTGTGTGTGAGTTGTTTTTTTCCTTTTTTTTAACCGCAACGCTCACTGATAGTGCTGTTGTTGATTCTTGTGGTCAGTGTGGATTCTGTTTAAACCTGACAATACGACAATCCCTGCATTGATCTAACACTAACATTATAACCAATAGCAGCTGCAGAGTAATCCTGAGGGATAATTCCTTGCTTTGCCTCCAAACACCACAGATTTATGCTGTCTTTATCTCTTTACACATATGCTTTAGGCCAAGACTGCTGGACAAGCCAACACGATGCAGACATTTCCTCACTCTGGTCTCTTTATTCAATATCTGGGTAGGTGATTTTGTTGCACAACAGCTTAACTGAATTTCCCTCATCATACCAGTGGCTTGAAATAACATTTGTTATTATTTGGAGCTTTATGAATGGAAAAGAATGAACCTGAATAAAAAAAACTTACTTCCATGACATAACATGTTTAGCAAAATGGTTAAATTATTGGTATTAGATAACACCCCCCTGTCCGAAAAATAAATAAAAGCTGATTGTTTACTTTTACACTGATAGGTGCTCAATAGTTGACATTAATGTCAGTTGCACTCAATGTTGGACTGAGTTCATACTGTAACATTCACATGTCTGATATGGTTGGGAGAGGATGAATAAAGGTTAAAAAATATTGGCATTTTTCTTTATTTCCCTCACATATAAGAGGCAGTCCTGGACAGACAAATGTCTCATGTTTTTCTGTCCTTTATTTTTAAAAATTCTATTTTCATCCAGGTTTCTCCTTCATATTAAGTGAATAAAGGGATATTATCATTCAACGCTATGACACAATAATCCAGATCCACCTTATCACTTAGTGTGAATGAAACTTTGTTCCTCTATTCACACAACAGCAGATCACCAGGGGAAATATTGCCTTGCCGCCAGTGTCAAATGCGAGTGTCCCCTGGTGCTCCTGTTTTGGACAGTGATTAGGAGCTAAGGTCACAGGAAGGGGAAGAGGTCAGAGAGTGGTGAAGGAGCTGGATCAGAGGCCAGAAATGTCCTCTGATCCACAGAGATGTTGTTGTTACTGGGCTATCGCATAGATCTCCATCCAGCTGGGTAAAGAGCTAAATTGTTTTGCATTCAAAGGGCCAGCTGCCAGCCAGAGATTACAGCTCGCAAATTCTGCCACCATGTAATGGTCACCACTCAGCAAGAGCGGAAGAGAAATATGCATGTTTTCACTATGGCAAAAACACAAGCAAAGATGGATGATAGTCCTTCAATAGTGGCGCTTCGCCACATCTTGAACACATCATGAGAAATATGTTATTGTTTCCTACTGTTATTGTAAAGTTTTCCAAAATCTAAACGTATTTTTGATGCGAATCTGCAACACAATCAGAGCGTTGAAGAATAATCAGACAAATGACAGAAGTTTCAGATTTCAGAGGGTTAACAGGAACTCAATGCTTGGAATGGCATGTTGAAACAAATGTTACATGGCACAGATTCAGGAAATATGTAGGCCCTCGTACAATAAGTAGTTATCCAACAGATGCCAAGAATGAGGCAGGACAATGGGCCAATAATTGAGTTCAAAGCACTCAAAAACGAGGACGGTCATAATCTGAGTTCCAAAAGTGTGGACTTGGACAAGTGTGTTAAACAATGAGGGGAGGACATTAAACAGTGCTTTATTTACTGGTTAGGGAGTTTGAAACGTGCGCGAGGGGCTCCGTACTCTAAACGTTGATGTCCACCACACCCAGTCTGTCAGAAAATCAGAGTTCACCAAACACCAACAGGGGCATGGCGTCTTTACTCCTAAACATTAATGGAACATAGCAGCCATTTCGCGAATATTCCTCTTCAGGACTGTGTTTCGTTAACCAACTTTGAGTCAAAAACACAGCGCTGAGACGGAGTTGACGTTACATGCCAAACTTTAGCAACAGTTGTTACGCGGCTGGTGTCGTGTTGCCACGGGGCTTCACTACTTTCCGGCGTGTCTTCCTCCCTGCGCGGTCTGAGCGAACCGAACTATTTTCAGATAAACAAAAAAGGAGCTCCGAAGAGTCGAACCTTCTTACCTGTGTGCAACTTTGAGAGACAGTTAAGTCAACCGGAGTCGGGCGGCTTTCGCTTCTGTCCCAGCCCAGGAAGAAAAACCCGGAAACGGTTTTTCTCTGAGTCCGCCCCAGTCTCAGCAGACCGACGCCATGTTGGCTCCAGAGGAGGGTCAGTTCGACTACAAAATGTCATGCTTCTTAGAGCCAACATGGCTTCGTCACTGTCACAGTCTGTTTAATTTCTCGAATTTGATAGTTTGCTTTAGACTTTAATGCTATTTGAATTGTCCGTAAAATTCTAGGTGTTCTATGCCAACAATATGTTTTCATATCATGCCACTGTGTGCAGCAGAAATAACTTCAGTGGCACAATGGTATGTTGGACTTCTGGATTTTCTTTTCATTATGATAACGGTAATTTAGATTAACTGAGTCTTTACATGTTTAATCTTGTATTTATTAAATTCAAACGTCTCTCACGTTCAAATGGAAAGTGTGATGTCCAAAGAGAGCTAAATGGAAATCCATTGTACAGTGTGAATTTGAGTTCTAATAAAAGGTCAGAAGACACATTTGTGCCAAATCTTGACAGTTATGGCTCTCAAACACCAGCAAGTCTTGTGGTAGACCTGGGGCAAAGGTAGAGATCGCTGTTTATATTTACCAGATGTTTTCCAATTGCCTCAAGCCACATGGGTTATGCTTCTGTACACAAACCCAAAGAAAGAGAATATTTTGGACACGATCTGCTGGTTTGTGAACAATGCCCTCATCATAAGTCACTCCACAATTCAAGGCCATCAAACAACATCACGTATAGCCCATTTTCAGACCAAGAACATTTGTATATTGGATTGTTTCTGACATGTCAGTAACACAAATGACACATGATTCTTTAATGGGCTTTCCATCCCACTGCAAACTATAGTAACCCATCAGACAATAAATGAAGATATTACGGACAGGAAAAATTATTCATGTGCATATTGAAATTGAATATCTAGTTTGGTAAGCAGGAAAATAATTCATTTTAAAGTACCCACATTTAATTTTGATACTACATTTACAACAAAAACACTTTTTAGGCCTTTCAAACTTACATTATGAAAATGTTATATGTAAGAAAAACAACAACAACAACACATGATGTCATAACCAGTGTCTCTTTGCTGCCCCCATAACCTTAAAACACCCCCTAACTCCCCCTTCCCCTAACAGCCCTCCATCCCGTCTATTCATTGTAAATAACTGTTCAAACTCACAATGCGCTCTGGACCGCTTTATTCAGCCCCACAACTTCCCTGCATTCTCATTGGACCCTCGAAGATGCGGCGGCAGCGGATTGGAGGAAAGTTCCTCCTGGAGTCCGCACGCCCCCACCTCACAGATATCCGTGCTCCGGTGCTACTGTGATTCCAGTTGTTTTCACATCCCCACACTAACAAGGAGACTCTGCCCTGCTGCCTTATACCTCTGAGCAAATGCGGCGAGAGATGCGCAACTAAATACTGGAGCTACTCCACAGCAACGCGCGTAATAGCTGGTTGGGACGCGGGACAAACACCCGGAGATATTGAAGAAGTTAAGACAGACCGAACTAAAAGTTTAAAGAAAGAAACGAAAATGGTGTCTGCTGGACTTGAGATCCTGGGACTTTCGCTGTGCGTAATTGGCTCGCTCCTGGTCATGGTGGCGTGCGGTCTCCCCATGTGGAAGGTGACGGCTTTCATTGAGGCCAACATCGTGGTGGCTCAGACGATCTGGGACGGGCTGTGGATGACGTGCGTGGTGCAGAGCACCGGCCAGATGCAGTGCAAGGTGCACGACTCTGTGCTCGCCCTGACCCACGACCTGCAGGCGGCCCGGGCGCTCACCATAATCTCCGCCGTGATGGGCGTCCTGGGTCTGATGGTGGTGATCGCCGGGGCCCAGTGCACCAACTGCATCCGCACCGAATACGTCAAGGCCCGGGTGGTGAACGCCGGGGGCATCGTCTACATCATCAGCGGCCTGTTCGTGCTGGTGCCGCTCTGCTGGATGGCCAACAACATCATCTCGGACTTCTACAACCCGCAGGTGCCCGCATCCAAGAAGAGGGAGATCGGCGCGGCGCTCTACATCGGCTGGGCGGCCGCAGCGCTGCTGCTGATCGGAGGAGCCCTGCTGTGCTGCTCCTGCCCCTCCAGCGGGAACTCGGGATACTCGGTCAAATACGCCCCGACCAAGAGAGCCACGCCGAACGGGGACTATGACAAGAGGAATTACGTGTAGTAGTCGACGCGTAAAAACGACCTGCAGCTTTTGAAAAACAAGACAAAAACTGTTTTTTACGGACGTTGTTTTTGCACCTGCAACTTTTGTAAATGTTCGTTTTGTATGTTCGATTATTTGACTTTTAGAAAATCTGAACTTTGAAACCAGTGAAAGCGCCTTCGCCGCTTTTACGGTGGTCCTGCGGTGCGCCATGGGCCACATACTCACACATCCCTTTTGCGACAACAGGAGATTAAAGAAGACTATCAAAGACAAGAGGTAGCTCTCGACAAAACGGAGAATATTTGTTAGGTACCTGCTTTTGTAAATCTTCGAAAATATTAGTATATGTAACTATTTGTCAATCTGTAATCTCTATGTTTCTTTTTCATTTCCCTGACGGAGCCTTGCCACCGAATATATATTTTTGTTTGTTTTGTTTTTGTTTTTCCTCCGTGCGCATAGTCAGCACTGAGTTGTACAGTGACAGAAAGTGGCTAAACTCCCACACTGTCAGAGACCCATTTCCGAGGGGAAAAACGCCAACAACCTGACAACATTGTCCAATAACAACAAGGACCGGAAAACAGAAGAGAAGCGTACACTTAAAGGAACCAATTCATCTCTGATAGGCTTTTCGTATAGCTCAGAAATGGAAGGGAAGATTAACTAGAGCTTGCTTTCTTATTTTGGATTTAATTCAAGAGAGCGTTGAATTGATAGGTCACAACACATAGTCCGTTATTCGGCCGCACTGAGCACCTGAAACGTTTTGCATTATTGTTTGAGCAGGAAGCAGCCTACCTTGTCTTGTCACAATTTTTTTTTTCTGTTGCCATGTTGACGTTTGGTGTAATGTTTCATTATTCATGTATACGGAGATGCAATACTGCTTCATTTTATTAAGATTAAACTGAGTATATGGTTTAAAAACATTTAGTTAAAGTGTGTTCTTAAAACAAGATAAGGGCGACAGGGTGCTGAGACGGGGATCCCCCTGGGGCCGTGCGTAAAACACGCCGTTCCCACCATCAATCCATAAACCAACCCCCACGGCGGGGGAAAGTATTTTGGTTATCCATAGAAATCCAGATGACAATACCCATTCAGCAAGAGTGGGGCTCTGCTGTTCAACTCACAATACCCCCCCCCCCCCACCTCCTCCACCCCCCCATCCTTGCCCCCTCCACCCCCCACCTCTTTCCGCAGTCACTGAAAAGGCGTTCAAATTAAAGCAATGGCCAAGCTGCTGGAATCGTCTTCTTGCTGGTCATTCCATTCATTCATTAGCCCTCAACCTTATCTCCTTCCAACAGGATGAGACAGATGGTCTCCACCAGAAATGGTTTCTCCTCCTCGGGTTTTAGTTAGTTTCTCGAAATTAAGTGCTTACCTCGTGGAGGCAGCTGAGAAACACCAGATATTACAGCCTCTGAGTAACAGCACCCTGATTTAAAACTGTGACTGGATTACAAGAGCTTATCCATACTTGTTTTGCCTGGTGACTCAAGAATCTTAGCAGGTCATATGCCCTGATAAACGTTGAAAATGGGAAGCCTGCATACAGTCGGGAGAGGCTGTTAGGCCAGACTCTTATTCAGTGGGAAGAATAAATTGTGAAAAGAAATGAATGGCAGGTGCCAAATTGGCCAGAGTTATTTTTGTTTCCAGTACAGCTCCATTAAGGGGACGCAGTAGCTACGTTGTAACGATACAGCTCCTCCATGGATAATGTTAGAGATGTGGCGAGGACTTAACGGAGTTGGCTCTGAAGACAACAAAGCACACACTCAGATAGCTACAATGCTATTTACACGCCACTTCTGACTGAAAGTGGAGGAAAAAAACGTAGAAAAACTTTCCAAGTTGAACAGTACGTCGGATATTTGTTATTCCTTCAAATATTTGGAAAGATAGGATTGTTTAATAAGAATAAGAGAATTAACAGATCATAGTTTTCATCTGTGTCTGGGTGTACCCCATCTTTTATCTGATGGCAGCTTGGTACACCTTAGCCCCATTACCATACTAATTTGGAATAACCAGGTTTTAAAAAAAAAGATGTTTATCGTTACCCTCCGGTGAATTACATGTTCTGCCCTGTTAGATTGGTCCACTGATGTAAAACTTGGCAGTTTTCTGTAGGTACGAGCTACTCCCGGTGGGATTATTTTGGTCCGGGTTTTTTTTATCTGAGCAATTCCTGGAAATTGCAGCGTGGTCTGCTTCTGTGAGATGTTTCTTGTCAGATTGTTACTTCCAGCCCTCTTGTCACCCCACAGAGAGTGACGAAGCAGTGTGTGTGTGTGTCTGTGCGTGTTTGTAACATGTTGATCACATGTATGTGCGTGTGTTGAAGGGGATAAAGGGTGGGCGTACCTTTAAAAAAAAGCCCCCCGTTCCGATGAGAAGAGAGGCAAATAGGGCCAGCGACGTCACTCAATGGGCACTCGCCATGGTAACCAGGCAGAACCTGCAGTTGCCTGGCTACGGAAGCCTATAATGTGGTGGTATGGATGAGCCTAATAAAAGGCCTGCCTGGTAGACATTCCAGCAAGCCTGAACACACACACACACACACACTTACAAACGTACACACAGCCCATGCACAGCAGTCTGGAGGGATTTACGGAAAGCTTATGATGGCCACTGGAAACAGCTGTGACAGCAAAACACGTTTGTTCAACCTGACCAGAAGTAACAGCCATTTGGATTGGGGTGTTACTCAGAAAAAAAGGGGATATGGCTCAAAGAGCTAAAATGAACAAGCAATCTGCATTATGGAGCAACAGGCCGGCGTGGCTGAGGTCCGGCTGCGCATCAGTGATGAGACGAGCATTTCAAAGGGGCGCAGGGGGGCAGCTGGGAGGTTGTTTCATGTCAGGACCCCTGAACTCAAAGGCTGGTTTTGAATCAGATTGAAAATCACTTCTCGACACAAGCGAGGGGTGATCTCATCGGAGCAGAAACCTCCACATTCAGCAGGGGTCACAACCACTGACCCAGCACCTCTCATTTCAACCAATGTGGACATAAGGGCTGTTAAAGGAAAATGTGCCAATTTATGGCATTAATTGGACGTGTGATTTATACCAGAAAGAAACCAAAGCAGTGCAGATGATTCCTGGAAAAAGTTCGACATCATCTGGGTACTTTCTGGTTGAGTCAGACTCAAACCGGAGCCAGCAGGTGCACACAGTCTGCAGACTTCCCAGCTGGAGCGAGCTTACCGACAGATAGTAATGCCAAGAGTCAGCAGGTGGTTAACTGTGGAAGACAAACGTAGCTTTGTGCGGAGAGTTAAAGACCCCGTGAGTCATTTGTTTGAGAAACAAAAAGAGAGCTAGTGTGGTTGGAGATCAGACGAAGAAAAAAACACCCCATTCTGCTCTCTTGCATGTCCACTGAGGTTACAGCTTGGTGAGTTGTTTTTTTGTTGAAAACCTGCAGCACAACCAGGCTTCCTGTGCAGTGGACATCGGAACGGGAAGCAGGAAGGAACAGGGAGGGTGTGGAGAGGCGGAGGAGGGTGGAGTGTGTGTGTTTCTCTACTTGGAGATCTGTGTGATTTAGCTTACTCACGAATTTACTGTAAACGCAGAAAGACAGGTGCAAGAATAAAAAAAGATTGATGTAAGTTTGAAAAGTACCTCATTTCAGATTTGCTTTCATCACCCGTATTCATACAATAATCCAAAATTAAGAAAGAAAACAATTAAAACATGTATTTTTCATAGAGTTGAGAACAGGCACATGGCATTTATCTAAAAATGTATTGGCACAACAGGATCATTTTAGCTCATGAAAAGTAGACATTTTAAACATGGATTTCAGACATGACATTATTGTGAGACATATTGTATACAGGCATTGATTGTAAGGTAATGAAAAACTCCATCAAACAATTGGACCACCAATTGTAAAAATTAGTAAGGGGTTCTTGGCACGCCCATCCTTTTACCGTTCTCTTGAGAAAACATTTGATAAAGTAATCGCAAACGTTTTATTATTTTCAACCAAAGAAAGTATATGCTCACCTATGTTAATGTTACCAGAGGGGGCTTAATGAAGCACTTCCTGTGCTTAACAATTGGCTTCTACGCCCTTAAAATTGTATGTCCATTTGATAACTACGGTGGCCCAGAGGTGTCAACACTAATACAAAAGCCCAAACACAAATACAAAAGCCACAACACGGATAACACTGTGGCATAATGTAATAAGTTGATTGTCTAAAGTACAGAATATGCAATTTCATCATCATATAAAAAAGAGAGGTCTTTTAACTTTTGCCATGTAATTTTTGTTAATTTATTTTCCATTAATGCTGTAGATTCAGTTTTTGAATTATTCATTAACATTTGTAACTTTTTCCTAGAGCTGAAAAGGGTGATATATGGGATAAGATTTCTTCTTTCCTCAAGGAACAGAAAGTTGCACATAAACCACAACCCATCCTAATCTTAGTATTTATTTAAAATAATAATAATTCTGCCAACTATTTAATCTAAATCTACAAAAACGACACAATATTTAGGTCATGTTGTGTATTGGAAACAAACCAACAATGTACTACAGGTTAGTGTTTTCTTAAGAAAGTGATAAACTGAGCATCCAGGGAGGATTTTATCTCAGAAATATGAGAGAGGAGAAGTTGAACACGGGAGTCGCAACTCCTTTCATGCCTTTGTGAGTGAGATCATGTTTCCAAATGATATATCATAAGAAGGAGGCCATTTTAGACACCTGGACACATAAAAGCATGCAGTAAGTCAGTGCAGACTGAAAGCGGTCTGCAGAAATGCCTTCTGAGAAATAAGGAACTGTTTTCTGATTTTGCATGGGTAGCAAAATGTGCAATGTAAGTAAGAGGAGATCTGCTCTAAAAAGCTAATCAAAATGTGTACATGTGTCATCAGGCAGAGGTATATTGAGTTTGGGTTTTCTGGGGTATTTTGGACTCACATTTAGACGTAGGAAATAAATCATGAGTTCAGTAAGACTGATTCTTTTTTCATGGACTGCTGGACACAAACACATCTGGGCTTTTTATGTAAGAGAAAATAGAAGGTGTCAAACTTGTGTTAGAGCGTGCTTTCTTTTGTGCTTCCTTTCCTGAGCTTCTCTCTCCCTCTTTGTGCAGGTGACAGAGTGCATGTTCAGAAATAAAGGCTGCTCTGCTTGTTATCCGTAAAAAGGGAGTCCTGCATGATTGAACCGCCCACCACAGACACCAACAGAACAGACACCCTCATCACACTCCAGCTCATACCCAGTATTTGAGCCAGCTCCTAATCAGTTTTTATTCTTGGCATTCCTGTGTGCAAACCCTACAGTAATGAGAGTGTCACGCCTACTGGACATGTCCTGATTGTGGTTAAAAAAACAAGCTCCCGGGAACAAAGTATTTCCACGTGAATGTACCTTATTCAAAATATCTTCATGCAAGGTGCATGACTTTAGCATGACTTACCAAAATCAGTTTGTAGAAGCTTAAACTTATTAACTGACATGAAATGGGCCATCATAATGTCCACTATCATGTCAGTGGGAGATTTAAGAAGGTCCCTGTCTCTGTGATTCTGTAAAAATGAGTTTGACAGAAGAGGAAAGGTCCCTTAACTGTAGCCTCTTTCCATATTTTGTAAGCGTTTTTATTTGGTTGAAGGCGAGTGATGCATGGCCTGGGTATAGTAACAGGAAGATGGCTATGTGGAGTTTAAAAGTTGATGATAAATCTCTAATAGAATATTCTAATTAGATAAACTCCAGTAATCAATAAACAATATAATATTTTGCCAAAATTTAGACCTTAATGAGTCACTCCAATTCGGGAGTGTGTGGAAATTTAATTTCTAAACTTACAGCACATTAGATTTTTTTTCTCTGTTTGTAGTATTTAGCCCAAGGGTTTCATAGACTGTTTTGTGTTCTATTTTCTGAGGAAACTGAAGATCAGTCGCACAATAATGAACTATAACTCTTAATTGTGGTGTCTAAATGTAGTCACCGGCTCATTTTGGGGTATGCAGAAAGATGAATGGTGCAAAAACGACTTGTACGGTGCAGGTTTTTAAAGGCAGATTTCACACATATGACAAAAAGGGGAGCAGCGGGGGTGAGAACTATTGAATTATTCTGAAACATGTTTCACAGTCGATAAAACCTGAAATTTCAGCAGACATACAGCATACTGGGACAAACCCAGAACCCAAAACCTGTACCCTCGTTCAGTACATTAATCTTGCAAGCTCTTCCAGGCAAGGCTAACCTTTTTTTTTGTTGTTGTTTGAAAGCCTTTTAAAACTTTGTAAGAGACAGATTCAGAGCGTAACACTTCCAGCTGTGAGAGGGCTTGAGAGGTTAAAGGTGACAGAGGTTAGAAATCATTTAAGGCATGCGTGGGCTGACAGGCTGAAACGAAGGTAGAGAAGCAGCACAATAAAACAAAGCTTTCCAAAGCGGACGAGGAAGAGTTGGTCTGCTCCTTTATCGACCGCGTGTGTGTTTTAGTGGCTGTGTTAGAGATCTTCCACTCACAGCGTGATTTGGAGACAGGCAAAGCAAAGAGACAGCCAGCTGTAGTTGTCTGTTTCAGGCTGTCCTGTAAAGCTAATCCTATGAGGAATCTGAGATTGTTAGAGAGACAGAGAGCAGGAAAACAGCTGCCACTGATTAGATGTTGAGCAATTAAGACTCAACAAATGTTCATTCATAAGAGGACTATGTCATCTGAAAACCTAAAGATAAATCTCTATTTCATGTAAAAAGCAAACAAACAAACAGCGAAATACCCTAGTGAAATAATCTGCCCACTGTGCTTGATAACTACTGTTGAGGAAGTGGAAGTGTTCAACAGCAATTAACTTTTAGTTCACAAAAATCGTATTGGGAAAAAGAAGTTAATATAATTCTCAAAACAAAATTCAGGTCATAACGTAGTCTGATTAATAACATATAAGAAAACTAAAAGTTGTGGTGCAAAAAGATGCAATAAATTATATTTAACATTTGAACAAAACAGACAGTTTGGTTGAACGTCCAAGTAGATCATTTGTCTCAAAAATAGGTAAAAATAGAATGTAAATCAATCCAACGACCGGACATGCAAATACACACTATTATTCTGTGTGCTCAAAGAGAAACACTTCACAGACTGAATACAGTCAACTGTCCCAGAGTTTCTCACAAAACAAACCAGAGAACACTGTCTGGGCCCCTGGCGGCTGACATCATTACTCCACCGACATCTCACCCCCGTAGAGGCATCACAATGTCTGAGTGTGAAGCCTTCTGCTTCAAACGTCCACTCGCTGTCTGTGTGATCCTCCCTCGCAGAGATGTTTCCTTAGCCAGTGTGTGCGTGTGTGTTGGGGCCTGGTTCAGGCCACATTCCTCGGATGCGGGGAGGCATAAAGGCCAGTGGCCCCACTTCACCGGAGGTGCATGAAGGGGGGGGTCGGGGATGGAGAGCAAAGTGATTGATGACTAAGGGGGAGACGGCCGAATGACGGACTCAACAGGTGGATGTCACATCGAAGCAGCAATAAGCTGACCGACGCCACCACCGCCGGCCAGGTGAGAGGCCGGTCAGAGCGAGAATAACAACACAGGAGCTGGGCAGAGAAAGAACAACAGACTGTGACCTTTTGTGAGAGTCTTAAAAAAAAAAAGAAGTTGTGTTTCTCAACAATCCGAAGAGATTTACTGGGAAACCCCCTCTTATTTGGTAGTTGGATATAAATCAGTTAAATGAATCCCTGGTCCAGTGAGGCTATTGCTTGTATGCAACCATTGCGATCAGTCAGGAGAAAAGGTGAGACGGTCAGTTTCTGCTCTTAAAAGCCTCATCTTAGCTTTTTTTTTTTTTTTTTAAAGACAGGGAGGCTTAAACATGACACAGATATTTGACGGTTACATCTGTATTATCACCACTGGGCAACAGTCCACTGGTTTTGGAGATCACGTGACAAAACAGAGAGCTCCGGTATTATTAAGTTGTTTACGTGACTCCCTGTAACGATTATCTCATTGTGTGAACACACCCCAGTTCTTGTAATTGACATTTACTGAAGAGGACATTTGGTCTGTTGGTGTTACAAGCATAAGTTACTAATTTTACAGGACACTGACCAGGGTGCCTCCTTTAATTTGCACTTATGTTCAACTAAAACAACCTTATGGTGTTCCCTCAGGCAACAAACCGATAAAGGGGGAAGTTTTACAGTTGTACACCCAACTGATAGACATGTTAAAAACATTTCAAATAGTTTTGATTCATCAAATAAGCTACATTTTTAGGTCAGCGCATGCTCATTTTATTCATGAACGCTTTTACTTACAAAAAAGTGGTTTCTGCAATGTGCAGTTAAGAGAGATTTGGCATTCGGACCTTCAAATCACATTAGTTATACCAAAGTGTAAAAAATGGCTTGAAAGATGTGTATAAATAAAAATCTGAAGGGAAAACGCGAGGCTAATGAAAACACTTTCAACGGCAGTTTATGATGATTGAGGCTCTGAAAATAAACCTTCTCTCAAGCATCGTGGGGAACTTCTCCTCATTAACGTCCCTCTGCCTTAACTATAAACAATGCCATTATGGATGTAAAGTATTCGGAGAATTAAGTGATGACGCACACGTCCTCCCGACAATACGATTGTTTCCTGCCGCACAATGCAGGCCGCGGCACGTTTCAGTCCCGCTGTGGACGCTGAAACCGGACTTGCCTGCGAAACCACCTAAACGCTGCACTCCCTGAAGGTCAAGATCTCATCCTGATCCAGGCCGATAAGGATCTTAATGACCCCTCAGAGAGCGGCTGCCGCCTCTCCTCGGCTGTCGGACGGCAGCAACACTCCACCGGAGAGTTTGGCCTAAATTCTGAGAAGTGGGCCAAGTTTGCAACGGTAAACTTTGGCCCACATGTGCAGGCTGAGCTAACGAGAAGCTGTTAACTTAATCAAAGCTCGACAATGTTGTTTTTAAGAGTGCAGCATTTACCGGGTCATTTTACTTGTGTGTTTATACGCAATCCATCTTTCAGTCGATGTTAGCTGTTCGTCAGCATTCAGAACAATAAGTGCAAAAAATAACTATAATCTACCAGAAATGTCACTCAGATTTTGAGTTAGATTGAGGCACTAAGGGAGATACACACACTGAGCATGAAATGGAACGACACACCCCACCCAGGATATGATGCAGACACAAACAAAATACTGCCGGCTTTTCTGGGAATGAGAACAGACTTGATGGGAAATGCTCAATTATCAAAATGATCCCAACTTGAATCCATTCCTTGTCCCTCTCTGCTGTGCTTACGCTCCGACTGGAAAACCACAGGAATTTTCATGCTTCTCGGGTTTGGATTTCACCGTTGTCGTTCTAGGATGGATTATGCGTTGTTGTAGTTAGAGGAAGAGGTTTTTGGTTAAAAAAAAGACAAACACAAAGAAGAATATATAGAAAATAATCCAGTCTTACTTTTAATATCAGTCAATTTAGTATAAATGTTTATTGTCTACATTTCCCACACCAAAAAAGTGTCTAGGATCAATGATCAATAACTAAAACCCCCTCTTTTAGCAACATGGTCACTTTTCTCTAAGCCCTCTTAAATAAAGTACAGAAAGTTATAAGGAAGAAAGATTTTGTATTTCTATGACAGACCAACACAAACAAATCATGAAAAACATTCCAACAATCTAAGGAATTTTAAAACATTTATTAAAGATATTTAAAATGTAATTTAAGGCGAACAGCACAGATACATAGACAGGCATATTAAAACAAGCATTAGTATAATTTACAAACTGTCTGTACAATATAAAACATAAAACTAATTCAAACCGTAAAAAAAATTAAAAAAATAAAAACATGGTTGATGTTCTTGCCCTGGCAACTCTCAAAGTTTGATCCAACCGGTTTGTTTCAGTTCCATCCAACAGGACATCGGTCAGTTCAGACCACGCTGTTCTGTGGCTGCAGAGGTTCTCACGACAGGAGAGTGATGAGGGCATCCAGAAACTTGCTTCTGTCTTCCGACTTCAGTTCAATAACTGCAGGGCAAAAAAAAGATCAGTTTAAAGATCCAGTCTGGTGAAAGCTGTTTTTGTACATCCACCTGTCCGATCGATGGCAGTTAGGAAGGGATGTTTCCATACAGAAATCAGTTGAAATAGTTTGCTGCGTATGAAACGCGAACGAGGAGTTGACAATTTGTGTTTTTTATTCAATTCTTCTAACAGAGATGTCACACAATTTCCTGCTGCCTGTCAGTTCAGCTGCTGAGTTTTAGGAGTTTGATTAAGTCTCAGAGAGGTCAGAGTTAAGCAGCACAATGCTGACACCTGGTGTGCACGGGAGAGACCGTCACTCAAATTAATGACAAAGTACTCACTTGAAGTGTCAAAGTTGTCGTGGAGTGTTCTGGAGGTGGTGCTTTCTGCCGCTTTCTCAAATGCTCGACCAAAGAAACTTTAAAGAAGAAACAAACAGGAGACTGAGAAACGTCTTAATTTAAGAAGAAACCAGTGCCGAAGAAATTAATGGACATTTTCATTGTGATTTAGTTCTGCCTAAAAGAAAATACTACAGAAAAACGCAAAGGTTAGAATCTCAGGACTAGTGGTGGGGAATTGAAAGTGGAATTTTGTACAGACCACACACATTACTTTTCATTAAAAGGCCATTTACATGTGCCTAAGGGCTCGAGAACCTACTTCTTTTTGTCAGACGTCTCAGACTCTGGTGGGATTCCCACAACAATAACTGTTCCCTTTTCCACGTCCTTCGGTGCAGCCATGATGAGGGGAAGCAGCTTGCAGCGCTTGTTTCTCGTCTAAATGGAAAACAAAGTATGTAAAAGTGCCAGACAGTTAATCAACTGTTAGCTAAAATCACTGCGCGCTCCAAATTCAGGTTCATTTAGGCTCGCTTCTTACTGAATGCACAAAAGCCTTCAGCAGGTACTTGGAGAGCAGCGTCAAGGCCATGGGCTTCGAAAAGAGCCTCACGTCAGGTGTTCCCTGAAAAAAAGGAAAAAGACTCAGAATGAAAGCTTTATCCCTGCAGGATACACAGCTGAGTGGAAACGGGCAGACTTGTGTACCTCCATGAGGTAGCAGTAGAGGAAGGGCCCCTGAGACAGGATGAGGTTGGTACAGATGCAACTGGCCACTGTCTGCTGGACGGCCATCAACTTCTTCTTCGCCAGGTCGATGCCCGAGTGCAAACGATCAAGATTACTCCTGCACAAAAGGGACGGAGAAGACCAAGTTAGAGTTTAACTCTCCAAAGTAAAGTAACCTTATCGGTATATAAAAACCAAGATTAAGAAACCAATAATTTACAATCACTTAATAAGAACCGGGATCATTGTCAGGTGGTGTACATGTATAAAATATCCTGTGAAGAGAGACTAGTTTTAAAGAGTTACAATTTCACCTCGACAGGGATTCAAGAGCTTTGATGAAGTTGTCCGTGTCACTCTCCTCTTTCTCTGTGTTCTCCAGTAGGGCAGCAGCAGCGTGCACCATGTCGCCGGCCAGGAAGCGGTTTTTAAAGCCAAAGTGAACACCAAAAGTCTGGATGCGGATGTCCTTCATACTGATGGAGAGCAGAAAAAAAACTGTAGCTATAAAACTGTAGCTGTTATTAGTAACAACTAATTTCACTCCAGGTCTAAACGCATACCCGTATTTATTAGATGACTCTTCGAGGACTTCTCTCAGGTTCTCTTTGATCGACATGTCCATGGAGTTAAACTTTTGTCGCACTTGTTTCAGGGGCAGTCTGTTTGAGGCACACCGGGGGGAAAAAAGTGTGTATTTAACAAAGCAAACTTCCATAAAATCAAAACAAAACAACAGCAATGGAATGGATAAATCTCAAGATGTTTACCCCATGTCAGCCAAGAACTCCTGAAGTTTCTTTTGGCCATTTAAGGTCCAAAGCTTGAAGCTGCAGGAGGTGTAGCAGGAATTACAGATGCTCTCATAGAGAGACCAATGCTGGTAGAGGGTGAGACGCAAGCTGGAGCGCAACATTAAAGGAAAATAGAGACAAATCCGAGATGCTATGATGTCGCTGTACAGCATTTTCTTCTTATGCTATTAACAGTATAGTCCCTTATTAGCATGCTTCCATTTGCCCATCACTTTGCTGCTGGTATAAACAAATTTCCGCAATGATGGAAGATAAAGGATATAAGTATTGTATTCATCCGTATGCAGAAAGAAAAAAACAATATCCAACTAGTCAGATCACTTAAGGATACTCATATTCAAAAGAGATCCTCATGCAGTCGATAGACAGAGAGTTCTCTTCATCCTCATTTCGGTGATTATGGCGGGAAACGTGCCGCTGCATAGTGGCGATGTCTGTAACATACTTCATACTGACAGAAAAGGAAGAACAAACACAGCAAACATGGTAACTCAGTGGCCAACGTCTTACAAACAATTTGACATCTTTATCAAATATGGGGGGAAACCTTACTGTGTGATTTTATCATGGACCCACTGGTCTGTCAGCCCTATGATGGCCCACCTACAAAACACAAATAGAAAGTTAAACAAAAGAGACTACATTTAAAACTCTGCACTGTGACAGTCCATTTTAAAAAAAAATCTCACCAGAGCATGTCCTTTGTGTCCTTGGTTAAAACCCAGGCAAGCTCAAAAAACATTATAGCCGCCTGAAGGAAGTAATGGAAACATACATAGTAACGAGCATTAGAAAAACTGAACACAATCTTAAAGAATGTTGAATGTTTATTCAGATTTCAGGTTAATCTTGGATCTTTTTCAATAGTCAAAAGGAATACTGACAGAAGTCCCGTGGTACTCATACTGCTCATAGTCAAAAAGGATTTCCCTCCTGTGAAAAGAGCAAAAAATGATCAACATAAGACACTGTTCTCATCAGTGGCATGACTTAAATCTTTTTAAATCCAGGTTATCACTCCACCTTCGCGCCTCCCACTCCCTCCTTGCTCGCTGTCGTTCAATTCTCCTCTCAACTGCCCCCTGCAGTGACGTCATCACAAGAAAAAGCATCATTACAGCCAGTTCCCTCTCATCCACCAACTTCCCAGTCAAGAGGGGGCTGTCATCAGGAGTTCCACAGTCACCCCAGCTCGCTATTGGTGGAGCAACTATTTCAACCTACTTCATCATATCTCCTCCGTTTGCCAGATGGCTCTGAGCCTTCATCGCTTTCATTTCCAGAGTCATCTCCATCTTCATCCTCCTCATCTCGAAAGATGTCATCGTATGAGGGCACGCCCAAGTCATCATCCTGTTTGATCAGGAGCTTGATCTGCAATCAGACATAACAGGTGTTATAATAATCACATTTCCTTTTTATGGCTGGTGGGATTGAATTATTATGTTCCCTTCTGTTTCTCCAACTAATCAGCAAACTATTCAAACAACAATATTTGAAGCAAGTAGTAAAATTTGCTTTTGAAATAAGGGCAATGCATTTAAGCATTTTTCAGAATTTGCTAAATGAACCCTGAAACCTTTAACTGAGCAGATTGCAACACAGTACCTGGGTGTCATTGTACACATTGACCACGTCCACAGGCCGGTGAGTGTCACAGATGAAGAAGATGGAGTCGTCATCCGGCTGCAGCATCTCAAGAAGGTCGACGTTGGCCCCGCAGTTGATCAAAACAAAGTATCGAAACTAAAACACAACAGAAACATAAGTTTAGATCTGTGGGACACAAATCTATTCTTACAAATGTAAAGGAATCACACCTGCTCTTTGTGTTCAAGGAAAGCAGTGCCAAGGTCCTGCCAGCCTGTCACTGGCACAAGTGTATACTGGATCTGATCACAGTGAAAAAGAGCCTAAAGACAGAAAAACAATCCATTTGATTTTAACTCTGAGACAGCACTGTGGCACATCCCCATTGAAAAGACAGCCCACCGCAATCTTCCTTTAAATATATACACAATATCATATTTAAAGAATACACAAATAAGGAGTTTACAAATGTGACGGCGTGTAAACAGCAAACAGCAAACCCCAGCTTTGACAGCCTGAACAGAGGGGCTGAGATGGGCTAACGGAAGACTTACTTGCAGGATCTTGCAGGCACAGAGAGCATCAATATCCGCTGCAACCAGGAGCGCCACTCTCTGAACACAAACAACCATCAGATGATCGCGTCTCACGTTGTCGTTTCGACTACGAACATTTAGGTGGTTTACATAAGCTAACTAGCGAATCCAATAACACGAGCTAGCCCCAAACGCTTACCTGGTTGGCTATAACTTCGTAAAAGTCCTTCCTTATGTCCGTGATAAACATTTTCCAGGTTCGGTGTGAGACGTTTCAGAAAAGAAAAAACTAATTTTTAAAACCTCTGAAGTGCCTCTGCGAGTATTTATTTTTGTTTCCTGTCAGGCTCGGACGTCTCTGTGCTGCTGACTCCTGGACTGTGTTCCTTGTTGGAAATATGGCGCCAAATCTGTATGTCAGCAACAGCCAATCATTTTTACAGAGAGACGGTTACGTCACACACATTGCCCCTCCCCCTCTCATCAGAAAAGGTCAGAGGGCATATTTCAACTATCAGCTTCAATAACTATACAAAAAACGTGATTAAGTCACACGTTTAACCTCTATGTCTATTTGTGAAATTTGACCACTAACACTACCTCATTTTTAACATTAATTAGAGAATTAATAAATAATATATATTGTAATTAAGTAAAGAAAAACACTTGAAGTAACTGACAAGATTTTCACCAACTGATTGGTGTCATAAATATAGCCTATACTGAATCCCTTTTTCCCTCTTATAAATTAGGATTTCCCCCCTGATTTTGAACTGTTACATCTCTAATACATCAGCTCTTGGAAAGTTGAACTAATTTCTGGCTTCATTTGGTGTTTATTCAGCAATCAAACATCATTCATTCTGCAGACGCACAAAAATATATGCAAACAGAAAGTGTGTATTGCAAAATCTTTCCAAAACATGGTCAAGTGTCACAAAGAACTTTGATGCTTTTAACCATCAAGACATGGTGCCAGCACAAGCAACTACTACATGACCATTAAATAAAACAGGCAGATCTTCATGTAATCCATTGTTGTCAAAGTAGTTCAAAACTTTCAAGCTGCCCGATACAGTACACACAAAGTACAGGACGTTTTTTTTGGAGGAACAGTGAAACATGCAGGATTTAATATAAATGCAGAAGACTGATGAACAGAATCCAAGAGCTCTCAGGTATGATTTCTAATTTCATTTGCATCACATTTGAAGGACAAAAAAAAAAAAAAAGAGAAAATTCAAATAAACTTCAACACGTTCTAAACTGCTTGTACATTATTTCGAACATACCCGTGAAAATGCCTAAATTAATCTATTTGTCTTAAAGGGTCTCAAAGCCCCCCCCCCACTGTCTCTCTAATAAACCTTTACACTCTGCATACAGGAATATTCACATTGGAATCGTTAATAGTGACATTTAAGATAATTAAAGTTAGTTTTCTGTGGTGAAAAAAGGCAGCATGCTAATTCAACATCGTGTACCTTCTTCTCAAGTGAATTTTGTACACGTGCCAAAAAAGACAGTCAGAGAGCATTTACTGACATTAGTTACACATATCATACATCAGCTGAAACTAGTTATGTGCAAAACAAAGGCACACAATCGTATTGTTTTTTTCCTACCGAGTCCTGTCTGAGAAAGAAAAAAAAAGACCCTGCATTAGTTTGGCTGGTTTCACACACAAAACAGTAAAGTGAGCTTCAATCAAGTAACATAAAAGTAACATGAATGCATGAAAACCTCATTTCCAAACATAATTACAGGACCGTCATGTGTGATTTCAGATTTTAGAGAAGTAAAAAAATCCCAACAAAACTCAAATAATAAAAAGTGCAGTATTGGCCATTGTAAATTGAGAGTTCAAAACTAAAACAACAAATCCAGTTCAGATATTCAAAGCATGAAAAAACTGACCAACAAGAGCACTGGGGGGCGAGCACAGTCTACTAGAGAGGCTACAGTCCTACCCCTTTTTAGTTTTATCAGAATACTCTGGCTACTACCCCGACAATCTCACCTCTCTGCTTACACTGAACATTCAGACCAAAGACAGGAGCTACAGGGGTTGGTGTGCGGTTAATGTAAGCCTGAGACTACTGACACAGGGAAACATTCACCTCATGGATTCATTTACGAGAGATCTAACTTGCGAGCAAAAAAGGTTATATACACAGTTCAGAAAAAGCAGAGACAAGATTATGACTTAAAGCACAGCAGGCACTGGTAAAACTGTAAAAGCACAGAGTGGCGCTGCTACATCTGGATGTCGTACTGAGAACAGGGCACGAGCAGCCTTTCCCAGACAGTCATTTAGGAAAAATGGTAACATTCAAAATATACTATAGGAAGACAGAAAGAGTTTAAGCAGTCTGAACAGAGGCAGCCAGAAAATGAGTCATGCTGATAAAGTTGCTTTTGATTTTAAATAAAAAAAAGTTGGGCATGTATTTTTACTTCTTCATACATCTTTCTTACTAAACATATCCCCTGACCAAAGGAGATCAAAACAAACTTATTATTTTTAGCACAAGTTTTCTATATTCTACTTATAAATACCAGGATTTGTAGTCAAAGATCCACTGAAGTACTAAATCTGTGTCAGCTGTCTGAAAATAACCTGCATGGAAACACTATTTACAACCGCTTGACTCAAATATGCTAATAACTACTGTCTGGGAAACCTTTTAGTATTTCTAAATCAAACTGTTTTCTGTATCTCAATCAACATTGACTAAAGTAACTTTCAGCATAACTATAAATACTATGAATTACCATTGTGTGCACTCTACATGCCACTAACAATTTTGACAGGAAAAATACACACTGAACAGAACATCTAAACTCAAAGTTCTGCTTACTCTGGAGCTTTTTAACAACATGTCAGCAAATGAAAAGCTCATGTGGTCCCAAATTGTATGCTTTGCCACATTTGATCCAAGTTTTAACCTGTGCTTGTGCTAATTTGAACTTTGAGGGGTGGTATAGATCCATGACACTGTGATACGGTTTATTTTGGCTGATTACCTTTATGATATTACCAAACCCATTGATAAGCATTTGTGTGGCTGAAAAGTCTAAAATGTTATGAGGTTGTTTTTGTAGCTTTGTATGGTGTCCCATCAAACCCAGCACCCCCGCTAAGTAATAAGAGATTTCAGGTTACTTCCCAGTGATTCTATCCTTCTTGTTTAAAAAGTTGAAAGTTTAGAAAGACGATAATAAAACGGCGACCCACACGGTAAACTGTTTCCCAGCAGCTGACCAGAGGCTGAGGCTGAGGGGCAGTGGGCAGCCAGTGTGGGGCTCGTGCTGCTGACCCGCCCTGCTGCTACAAGTGGGTTCTGTCCTGTAGTCAGTAAACGCAGCACACAACGTGTGCAGAGCTGGGCCACGTAAAAAAAAAAAAACGGAGCAGAGTAACTAAAGGAACTACAGCTGATAAATCCAGTTGTTTTAATACTTTTTTTTCTTCTTTGCTTGTTTGTTTGTTAGTCAAACTGACAAACACAGTTATGACTGAAGGTAGACATTAAATAACGGCATGATGCCCAGCTCTAAGAGGCAGGAACCAGATTTACAGGGATCTCCGTATAAAGGACGCCACTTAATTAAGAGTGTAGTGTCGTTAGGGCTGTTTTTACAGCGGCAGGATGTAGTTGGAGTTGGCCAGCTTGCGCTCCTGTGCCGTGGGAACAGTCTCTCTGTGGCGCAGCGGCCTGTAGCAGTCCAGGTCCTGAAGGGGAGGGAAGTGCTGTCTGTAGCAGAGCCAGGCAAAGGCGAAGCCGAGCAGAGAACCCACCAAAACATCTGCAGGATGGACAGAGATCGTCGTGTCAGATATGAGGAGGACCGACTTTTACCTCTGGTTAATGTTTTACAGGAGTAAACGGATAACCGGCTGGTGTTCTTCCTCTTCAGCTGGCAACAGAGAAGTGCAAGAACAACAGGGACACACACGTACAAGAAAAAAAAAAGGTTCATAAAGTCTTTCATCTAAATATAAAAATAAATAAATAACGGAAATGTCCTAATGGCATGTTAAAATAGTAAAGAATTAATAATGGTACTGCCCATAAATCCCATTTTATTAATAATAATCTTTTTTTTTTCAGGGATGTTAGTTAAGGGTTAAACCCATCCTTAATGAATGCATTGAATGGTCAAACTAGCTAAGGTTTTGCCTTCTGTACGCTGTGCATGTGATGCTTTTACGTCCAGGCAGAGCCTGAAACTCTGACCTTGCCAGTGGTGCTTGTAGTCGCAGGTCCTGGACAGGGCGATGGCCGTCGCAGTGAGTAACGGGGCGAGGAAGGCACAAAGCCGCCATGCTCTGCCCTGTCCTGCTGCCGTGAAGCAGCGCAGCTTTCCTCCCAGGTACAGCGCTGTGAAACCCAACCCGGCGAAGGCGACTAAGACAAAGGAGAAAAGGCCAAAGTGAGAGGGAGTTTTATATGGACACAGAGAAATGAAAGGGCGACAGGCATCTGAGGCTTGTGTAACACCAACACTGGGAGCTCTAACTAGCAAGAAAAGGGCCTGATGGTGAAAATACACAAGTATGTATCTATTTTAGGATTTACGCTCCGCTGCCTCACTTTGGTGTGCTTGTCTACTTTAAATAAAGAGGTACAGTTGACCATAATGGACTCTTACAGGAGGAATGTCCACTGGGAAAGCTTTTTCTTCCTTCTATGACAACATCTGGGTCACCGCTGCAGCGCAACTCCAAGTTCATCTGACCGTCTGGGAAACAGCGGTAGAAAAAGTCCGGTCGCGGCCTGAGCGCAGAGGCAGAGAGACATCAGGAGGACGTTTAGGCACCGCGGCACTGGTCTAGCTGATGATCGGGCACCCAACACTTACCTTCCAACGATTAGTTTGATGACATTAGTGAAAACTCCATTGAGGACCAGGGTCAGAGTCACAGCTGGTTGACAGGGGGAAACAGAACTGAATCATGAAAGAGATATGTCAACTACAAAGGGTAGCCCAAATATCTGAGGATGAAAAATCCTAAATCTGGGGTGGATTCTCACCCAAAGAGGCTTCTTTAAGATCTCCACGCTCTGATTTATGCAGGAGGGTGAAAGCCAGGATTACAATCAATGGGGTTAAAACGGCTACACTCTGATACAGAAAACAAAGAACAGAGCAAATAAGCAACATAGAAAGAAACATGTAAGTAGTATACATATAATTTATCCAAGTATTTTTGGTATACAGACAACAAAACTGTGGTCACTTAGTTAAACAACTTGATGAACCGTTAACGGTTCCAGACTCGAATTAAGCATCTGTGCCACTTACTTACACACACACAAACTTACAAACATAAGAGTGGTGGGTACGTGGTCTCTCTCCACGCGATGGAACTTATACAGCCACATCTCCTCGGGTTGGATCTCACGGTAGAACGGTGGAAGCTGCTCCGTCACTCTGAGTAGACAAACAATATATCCAGATATTTGTGAGCCCAAAAAGCAGTTAAATAGCAACAGGTAAGATTTAAGGGAAAAATAAGATTAACTTACAGGAATACGATCAACAGCACCAACCGGACAGAAATTTCCGACAGGAATCCGCGCAGCAGCTTCCTCTTCATCTTGTTTCTCAATGAGGGTTTTAGCCAACAGAAAACATTGTCACATCATCTTCTCCTTGATTAACTGGGGCTATAACAAAGAAAATGTGAATGCCATTATAGTCCTGCCAACATACACCTGATCTAACCAAAAAAGAAAAAATTCTAAAGACAACTTGAAACTAAAAAGGTTAAGACAATGAGTCTCACAATTGAAAAATGCCAGACACACCTTATCTATGGAGCCTGAAAAGACAAACAAACGTGTCCTTTGTGTGGCTCAAATACTATTCTGACTTGGTGATAAAAAAAAAACTCCTCTCAAAAAAGTTATTCAAAGCCTATGAGTCTGGATTTGAACCACAACATGGTTCACAAAGTCCATCTTGCGGATTACATACATTTCAAAATAGTGGGCAGAGATCATATTAGATCACAGATTTAAGATGCTTTAGGTTCACACTTTAAGATCCTTAAAGTGTAACAGCCCTCCCCTCCCCCATATCCCTGAAAGGTTTTGTAAAATAGCAGGTTCTATTTGTTTCAACATTGACAACTGACCATTTTACCCTAATTTATGGTAGCTATAATTACACTTTGTGTAACACGCCTTTACAACACAAATAATACTGTCCTGCCTTAATTTCTCAGCTCAAATGCAATTTATGCGTGAGCTTTTTCTCCTTAGTTTATGTTGTTGAAAAAAGTGGTGGCAAAAACCCACCACCTTATTGACAAAAACGTACTTTGTCCTGCACTCCCACAATCAGATAAAACGTCAGCGTTGACTCTTAAAGCTCTGCCGGTCTAAAAACCTGATGTGACCAAAATGTGTGCACCTGTGCTTCCCCGCTTCCAGGTGAGATGATGAATTTGAATTTTTCTAAATAACTGCAGGCCGCCATTCATTGAAAACAAGCTTACGACGACCGCCTATCACGGAACAAGCTAATATTTAACAATCCGGTGAAAGGCTAAGCTAGCTAGCCACATCTGTCAAACCGTACATCTGGACCATTTCCGCATTGTCAAACAGTAAAGACGTGTCGGTTACTGACCTAAAGCAGGCAGAATTCTATTTCTTCATCTTCTCGTTACCGTGTTTTAAAAAGCTGAAGCTGCATCCATATCCCCTCCTTCTGCTGAGATTGGAAGTCGTGGATGAGAGGACTTGATAGAAAACAGGGATGCCACGGAGGAGGTGAGCGGCGCGTGAAGCGAACAACAGGACCAAACATTTCCGGTGAGGATTTTCATAACAAAGGTCATCCCATAGAAGCGTCAGAGAAAAAATATTACAATGAATTTAAATGGGTTTGTATCTTGTGGAAGTTCCCAAGCAAAGTTGTGTGACATATGCTATACGGCACCATAATAAAAAAATATCCAGATAAGCCAACTCCAACGAAATTAAGGTATTCCTCTTCACTGTTATTGAGATATGGATATCTTTTAAAAATATTCAATAATTTTACCAGTTATGTTTTCCCACGTAGCCTCATTATTTCACAGCAACCTATGAAATATACTTTTCATAGGTTAATTGACCAATGCAGATTCCATTATCACTTTTCCTGGTTTGTAAGTTTTTCTTACTATTCTTGAAGAGATCAACAGCTTCATCACATAAATTCATCTTGACTGCACTTGTGTCTGTTTTAATCTGATTTTGCACATTCCTCACAAAGAATGCATAACACTGAATAGATAACAAAAAATATGTTTGAAAATGCATTAACTACATTTCTTGTTAGATTAAACACTTGGGTGAAAATGAAATCAATGAAAGGAATCTTATGTTCTGTTGGAAATGGTTTACTTTCTCACAGGCAGCAAAAGTTTTAATAATCATTTAGGGTGGAAACTTGTTACCACTAAGATGTCTTTTACTCATTCAGATTTGTATATTTCTTTTTTCACACATGCATACACCAACTTTCTTTTTTTGTTTTTTGAAAATAAATGACATTGTCAAATAATGGCTAATAAGGACCCTAACTATGTGAGAAGGATTCCCAATGTAAAGGAATCCTTATGATTCCTTAATGTGATAGGCTTTATAACAAGGTGTGATTGATATTTGACATTTTGAAATGTAGATTTTACCTTTACACGGTCAAATTCAGGAACATCAAATTGATACTCATAAAAGGGAAATCTTTCTTTAGTAAATACTGAATGGTAAGGGATAACTCAGTTTCATGGGACGATTTTAGCTATTTTCTAACATACTGGATAGTTTAATTACTCTGTTTCGTCTGTTTAATACGATTTTAGGCAATTGCCCTTACAATAATCTCGACATTTAGTGGATAACTAGGTCTTTTCACGTATTTCGTCAGAGGTGAATTAATTTCACCCATGTATTTTTTAATGAGCTTTGTGACTGAAACCGTTTTTATTATAAAACCATTCAAGCATTTCGATTTGATTTGGACTCGATTATATTTTTTAAAAAATCACGAAATAGGATTAAATCTTTAAATGGGTTACAGCGATCAGGGCCAATCCACCTTTATTACGGGGGTATGTACATATTTTAAACTTAAAATAATCTCTCTTGTTTATGTATTTAGTTTTAGTATGTTTCAGTATAGAGTGTTAGTTAAATTATGAAAATGTCCCTCAGTTTTAACGCCAGTAGCCTAAATAACATTGAATTCCCCTTTTGTTCGCAGTGGGCCACCCCCTCGTGACAATGCAGTGGTATAATCTTGCTTCAAAACACAGCGCGAACTAAAAGCGGGTTCATCTTTTTTCTTACATCGACTATATTGCAGTCGCCTTGTAAAACTCTTAATCGAAAATTTTATTTTCACCTTTCTACGACAACTCATCAAAATGGTAAGAATAGTTTGCAAAGTTTTTAGGGCCTCCCCCTCATATTTTCAATCTGGGAAGAGTATTTTGAAAACAGTTGGCAGCAACGGTAGGCCAATTAAGTTGGAAGGGTGAAGTTTATTTATACTATTTTCTACAAGGTCAGAAATTACGTTTGCAACGGTTACTCTTTGGCTGGTGACTATGAGCACTTGTCTAAAAAAGTCACCTATTGTAGTTTTGGTTGTTAGACTGGGATTTTTTCGTTTTTTTCCCCCCTGCCGACCGCTATAAAGAATTTAACGATCGTTTCGAACGCAGAACTTTCAAAGTTTAACGGGGCCTAACCGTCGGCATGGCTACCAACTGAAACACTAACTGATGCGTTCCATCCCGTTATCGCGAGACTTACTGTGACCTATCGTCATAGTTTATATGTAAGGACACTGGTACAATGGTCACACTTCCGTGAATTGTTATTGTTGACTAAAGTAATGCTGTGTAATTCATTGAGCTGTATCATATTAAATAATTTCAACCTTTTTTAAAATATGTCTGGATATTGCTCTTCTCAAATTAACAGCCTAATTTATTAGTTTCTTTTTTTCTTTTCTTTTCCAGCGTGAGTGTATCTCTATCCATGTAGGACAGGCTGGTGTCCAGATTGGCAATGCCTGCTGGGAGCTTTACTGCCTGGAGCATGGGATCCAGCCAGATGGCCAGATGCCGAGTGACAAGACCATTGGAGGAGGAGACGATTCCTTCAACACTTTCTTCAGTGAGACTGGAGCTGGAAAGCATGTCCCCAGAGCTGTTTTTGTGGATTTAGAACCCACTGTCATAGGTAAACGTAATTTCTCATGGTTGAAAATGGAAACAGATTAAATACTTCTGAATGTCATTCAAACTTAACCCCAACCCCCCCTCTCTATCCCCATCGTTAGATGAGGTGCGTAACGGGACCTACCGCCAGCTGTTCCACCCTGAGCAGCTAATCACCGGCAAGGAGGATGCTGCCAACAACTACGCCCGTGGACACTACACTATTGGAAAAGAGATCATTGACCTGGTTCTAGACAGGATCCGCAAACTGGTGGGTACATTCAATCAAAGCTCACCATTGGAACGTGGAATGAAAATGCATTACCGTGTGTATGAATTGCTGTTCCTTTCTTTTCCCAGTCTGACCAGTGCACCGGCCTCCAGGGTTTCCTGGTTTTCCACAGTTTTGGTGGAGGCACTGGCTCCGGGTTTACCTCCCTGCTGATGGAACGTTTGTCTGTTGATTACGGCAAGAAATCCAAACTGGAGTTTGCAATTTACCCGGCTCCACAGGTTTCCACTGCAGTGGTGGAGCCCTACAACGCCATCCTGACCACCCACACCACCCTGGAGCACTCCGACTGTGCTTTCATGGTGGATAATGAGGCCATCTATGATATCTGCCGCAGGAACCTCGACATCGAGCGCCCCACCTACACCAACCTGAACAGGCTCATTAGCCAGATTGTGTCCTCCATTACTGCTTCTCTTCGTTTCGATGGTGCCCTCAATGTTGATCTGACGGAGTTTCAGACCAATCTGGTGCCTTATCCTCGTATCCACTTCCCACTGGCCACCTACGCCCCGGTCATCTCTGCTGAGAAAGCTTACCACGAGCAGCTCACAGTTTCAGAGATCACAAACGCCTGCTTCGAGCCGGCTAATCAGATGGTGAAGTGTGACCCTCGGCACGGTAAATACATGGCCTGCTGCCTCCTGTACCGCGGTGACGTGGTGCCCAAGGATGTCAATGCCGCCATCGCTACAATCAAAACCAAGCGCACCATCCAGTTTGTGGACTGGTGCCCCACCGGCTTCAAGGTTGGCATCAACTACCAGCCACCCACTGTGGTTCCTGGGGGCGACCTGGCCAAGGTCCAGAGAGCCGTGTGCATGCTGAGCAACACTACGGCTATTGCTGAGGCCTGGGCCCGGCTCGACCACAAGTTTGATCTGATGTACGCCAAGCGGGCCTTCGTTCACTGGTATGTGGGGGAGGGCATGGAGGAGGGGGAGTTCTCCGAGGCCAGGGAGGACATGGCAGCTCTGGAGAAGGATTACGAAGAGGTCGGGCTGGATTCTGTTGAGGGAGAAGGGGAGGAGGAAGGAGAAGAGTATTAGGACGATCATAAAGGGACCTAACAGGAATGTCTAAGCTTCCAGATGTTCTCCAGTCTGTCCTTAATGGGGATGTTTTTGCAGTTGGATCTAAGTATGTACACTGTTATACTATCTCAGTGGTATGGAAAGTTGAGTTACTAATAAATATTTCAGCATGCACATTTGTCACGTTTATTTACTTTTTCTTTAAGAGCTGTGAATATCAGACTATAAATTCTGGTCAAATAACATCATTCAGATTCGAATGGGACATCTTCTCTGGCAACATTACCTTTGGCTTTGTAGAATAAAAAAATAAAATAATCTACTTAATATTGACAATCAGGATTTATCCATGGGGTAGCCACACTTTTTAGTTGCTGTATTTAATAAAATATCAACATAAGATTGTTTATTACTAGATTTGTACATGACGTTGCTTATAACTTTTAAAAGCAATAGTCTATTTGACTTCCTTAATTTAAAACCGTTAAAACAACCCTAGTAGTTTTCAGAGTTTGTGGCAAGGTTCCAGAGATGGACATAAAACTAGAGATAAAATGAACTTCATCCCATTTAGCAGCATCCAGCTGCTAATTTTTTTTTTAATGCAACCTAATCTTGCTTCCCAGTCATTCTTAAAAGTTCAGATTAAATCTATTTGCTTTGGCTTCCCAATGAGGAATCCAGTATGCCTCCGATTCCCTTTCAATCTGCCAGGTGGTTAAAAAGCGACATACAGTGAGCGGTTCACTGAGACAGAGTACAGCTTTATTAAAGTCAAACCTCAGGCATGTCTGAACTCTTAAAACTCAACTTTAGAATGAAAAAGGACAGAATCAATATTCTCAAATAAAAAGACAGTCATGTACAAAAAGAGTGTCTTCTCAACAGTCACACACATTTAGAAGCAGAATTGTACAGGCAAAAAAGAGCACGCCACAGTAACATGTTTCTATGCAAGTCCAATGCAAACTATTTACAAGTTCCTCAACAATATGTAGTATGCAGTAACACAGGTTGAACAGTAATTAACATGGCATTTTGTGTTCATCCACGTTTTAATTGAAGCAACACCAAGAGAGATAGATATGACCCCAGTTAGAGTTACTGTTAGCAATTTTACTACAAGTAAAAGGAGATGAGTGCTTCTGCAGGTGACTTTATTCATTTATTCCAACACTATCTGACAGCATGTCAAGTAAAAACTTAATGACAGTCGGCAACATTGCACAAAAAAACAAAAGACGTCACAGTGAACTGAAACATGCCCTTTGACACACAAAGGGGGTGGTCCATACTAAATTGAAGTGAAAAATCCTCCTCAGGCCCATTTAAGGGTCACTTAAATGAGAACAAACATGCTGTCTCTTAAAAAAAAAAAGAAAAATATCTGGGCAACAACAAAGAAAACATACATCATCGCACGACTATGGTGAACACAGGGAGTCTTGAATCGATAATACTGCTGCTGCATCAGCTCAGCAGGGCGGGAGGAGACGGACTGGCACAAAGAAATGAGCGTGATCATGCGATCCATAGGTGCAAAGAAAAATAAAGGCTGTTCGGTTTTGCAGAATCTCTGTGCAATAGGATTACAAATATAATTAAAAAAAAACAAGAAAAACAAACAAACACTGGCATCAAATCACCGTCTGATCTTGGAAGCATGCAATCCAGCTCCACATTCACCACAAAAAGAAAAGTTCCTAAAGCCATCGGCAGACATTTTCTGAAAGCAACAAGGGTCACAGGTGCCTGCAGTCAGGCGCTCACATGGATTAGTCCTGCATGGAAACAAAACAGGAATAAATACAAATAAAGACAATTCAAGTTTAGATGCAGACTGTCCAGAGTATACAAAGTGCCTTCATGATGCACCCGAGGAAGTTCTACAACAAAAAGATAGAGGCAACAGAAAGAACACAACTGGGAGCAGCGCTGAACTGCACAATGACATCAGAATGTTGAATCTTTTCAGGGATCTAAAAACTGGGGGAAAAAGGGTTAAAGAAAAAGGAGATGAGGCTCTGAATGCAAAAAAAATAGAAAACTACCCGTCCCTGTCTCTTTATGCGTGTTTTCAACAGAAATCAAGCATGTTACTTTGATTCATCCTCCAATCAGCTAAATTAGGACTCAATTTAAGATCATTGAGTTCTGACACATGATCCACAAAAGGGGGAAAAAATCATTTCATTTACACAAGCTTGAATGTTCAGTTAAGTTTAAAAAAATCTAGCTTTCCTTTTTTTGCATTCAGGGGTTTCCTTTTGATTCTCTCTTTTCAGGCTTCCTTCTTGATTTGCATTCAGCTGCAAGTTTATCAGGTAAAAAGTTTCAGCGGCTGGACACAGTCCTGTTGTCCAGCCTCTACTCAGAGAGGCGTCCATTAACCGCTCTGCAATCTGAGGGTTGGTGCTGAAGGGTTTCTGTAATCTAGTTTATTCTCTCATCCATTCAAACGAGGAATGAATTAGGGAGGACTTCTTGGCAGCTCAGAAAGGAGGAAGAACTTTTTAGGAACAAACCATTTAGCCGAAAAGCTCTTAACAAATATTCAGAAAGCATAGATTTGCGCAGATTTCTGGATTGCTGGACTGCTTGATTATTTTACCTAAAATACAGGCAACCGAGTGCGTTAAAGCTTTGGAATCAATGACGTCGTTTCTGACCCTGTGGCTCCACTTTTGATTTGCAGACAATATTTAAAAAAACAGAAACAAAAAACAAACGAGAACTGGTCACAGGGGAATAAAATAAAAAAAAGGCTGAGCCTGTGATAATTACATGTGCCCTGGCTAAATCTGCACACAAACCGCCCCAAAACAGAAACTTTACATTCCAATACTGAACTGCTTCACACTGCTTTTCAACACTGGTTACAGTGAGTCACGATAAAGGCTGATGAGCAGCTGCTGTTACCAAAAGTGGAATCATTACACCAAATATAAGAAAATGGCTAGATACAGGCATATCATGTAAAACTCCCCAAGTTTTCTTTTTTTTAAAGTATAACTTTTTTTTTCCTTTGTTTTTTTTTTAAACCGTCTATTTCACGTACGTCTTAGTGAGGAGGGAGACACATTACTGCACTGGTGTTTGAAAAAGAAAATCAGTATAAAATGTGGTGCAATAAATACAAAAATTTAGATCTGACAGATGAGCGATTAAAAACACTGTACAGAAGGTTCTGTTTGTACATCATCATACTGAACCGGACTGTTGTTACACCATTACACCTTTACACAAACCCCAGCCGAGGGGATTTCCCCCCCCCCTGGTGGAAAACACAAGAGGTGCCTCTGTAGGACACTGGGGCTTTTTTTTTTTTTTTTTTTTTTTTTTTTTTTTTCTTAAAATGAAGCTGGGGGAGCAGTCGTTCCTGCTTGTGTCAAAAAAATAAAATACAAGAAACTAAGTTAGTTTTCCTGGAGAAAAAAAAAGGAGAGAGAGAAAAAAGACCCAGCATTTACCAACATTTCTTACCGAAAGGCAGAATGTTACAACACAGTTTAAATTCCAATGTTACTACAAGAAGAGGTATCCATTTTGAAACACTTTGTGTATACATTTCTGTATATTTGCCCAAGCTAAACTGTGTAGCAACGAGCCGTGTAAAAAGTGCTTTTCAGAGAATTTTGGCAAAACAAAAACACACAAAAAAAAACAAAAAACCCCAGAAAACTAAGCACCAGAGCTGTCACAGTACACACGAGTGAAATGAAATGACTGAAATGGGCTGCTTCTGTGCAGTACAACCTACCACGAAAAACGGAACAAAAAAAACGAAAAAAAAAAAAAAAAACTAACTTAAGGCGTATCAACAATACTTTAAGACAGCACCAGTGATCACAAGCTGGGCCCCTCCTAACAAACAAATAAAGAGGACCTATTTGGAGGGCGCGTGAGAATGCGACGCAAAACAGAAAACGACAAGGAACTGTCCCGTTTAAAAAAGCTTTTCCTTCCTCGAGGAGAAACAAGAGAGACGAGGCGCTGCCCCTCCTGATCTATAAGTACTTTACAATATTGTGAGCCCATTATGTACACAATGGCGAGTGAGACTGGTAATATGAAATCACGAGTACTTCTGTAATGTCATACCATTACACTATATACCATTATAATTCACCTTAATAGGACTATTTTCACAAGGAGGTCTGTGTAATGCTCGACACCTAAACAAACAAACGTAATACACCACTCATCGAGATGACGTGAAAGAATCTGTCTGTAAACATTAACAAACATAGATACTGTATATAATTATATTCATCTATACCCATAAGAATATTAAAACCATGTTTAAGGAAGTTTGGAATGTAGTGTGGTCCTGACAAAAAAAAAAAAAAGAAGAAAGAATTGCACAAAATCAGTCAGTCCCCCCCCCTTTGTTCCTTTCCTTTTCAATAAGAAGAGATTAGGGGGATGACGAGTGTGTCACAGGTGATGAAGAAAAGCCGGCTGGTCTTCATCATAAAGCCGTCCTGTGTGTGAGATGCGGGCCGCAGCTTACAGCAGGTAAACGGGGAGAGGAGCAGCATGGCGACGGAGAGGTTGGTCCTCCTCTTCCTCCTCCTCCTCCTCCTCTTCCTCTGCTCCGCCCCTCACTGGCTGAGGTCTTCAGAGTGCTGTTCCGGACAGTGGGACAACACTTATGGGTTCTACAGCTGTGAAAGTAACAGTAATAAAGAGAGAAAACCCGACGCGGCGGTGGGTGTGGGAGCTCTGCTGGTGAGCTGCAGAGAGTGGGAGTAATGGTGTTCTGTGGCAGGAAAGGAGAGAAAGGTGCCCCCCCCCCCTCGTCACTCCCTCCGTCACTCTGCTCTGGAGTGGCCACCAACAGCTGGAGGTGTCCATCAGCGCGCCGGGGCTCCGGGCGGCAGCCATTGGAGAGCTGGGGGCGTTCCCGTCTCAGAGCACCCCGCCTTAGTGTGTGTTTGTGTGTGTGTGTGTGTGTGTGGGGGGGGGGTTATGAGGTATCGTGAGGGTCGCAGGCGTCACTCTGCGGCCGGCTGGCTGCAGTCCAGCTCCTCCTTGACCCTGGCGGGGCTGAGGGCGGAGGCGTGCGGCTGGCTGCAGCTGGAGCCGGGGCTGAGCGGGTCGTGGCTGGAGCAGCAGGGGCGGTTGTCCAGGGAGGAGGCGGTGAGCGCGCCCGCCTCGTGCTCCGCGCAGAAGGAGCGCGGGCAGAAGTCGCAGAGCGAGGAGGCCGGCGCGCCGCAGGCGCTGCAGTCGTGCCACGGACACTCCCAGCGGCCTGCAGGGGGACGGAGAGCAGCCACAGGGTCAGCGCCACCGGCCCCCGAAGGGTCAGCACTCAAAGTCTGAAGCCTGGCTCTGGAGCTACGGGGAAGCCTAACGCGCTACGCACGATGGTGAGCCGACTACTGGACACCAACCTGAGTGACCCGTAAGCCCTGACGGCTTAACCGGCTGCAGCCGAGAGTCTGTGAAAGCTAGTTTCTACATCAGCAGAGAAGTCAAAACAGATTAAAGGAAAAGCGTCACAGTATCCAGCGCTTACCTTCTCTACCGTGTCGATATCAGTACAAAGATGCTCATGAGATTAGCTAAGCTGGGAAACTCAAACCTTTTCCTGTCTAAACAAGACAAACAAAAACTGAACTGTGTGCTATATATATATATATATATATATATATATATATATATATATTCCAGTGTTCTTCCTTTCCTTCATCACTTCAGTAAAAGTGTTAAAACGGTTTCAGCTGCAGCTTCTGTTCATCCCATACACTCCCACCGGTTCCCCATTTACCTCATGCAGTGGCTTTACTCCTAAGTTCCAGCCAAGAACACGTTTCATTTCAAGATTTAATGTTTTAAATAGGTCATTTATTCTTGATTTATATGGTATCGCGCTGTGGTGATGCAGCAGGTCTCTAAGTTTCAAATGAATTTGTGTCTGTTTTGAGCGTTCTTTAGCTCTTCTGTTTTATCATAGTGGGCATGTTCCAGACATTTTGTTAGACTTTTGTTCACTGGAAAGGTTTTTGTTATCAACTTATTTTCTATATTAAAAAAAAGGTCTATACATCGATATAAGGGAGCCATAGGTTAGCATTAGAGCTAACCACCTGAAACTTAATGCATTGATGGAGTAAAAATAAATTCCATTGTCTTTGAACTAACTTGACTTTTAATTGGAACAGATTTACGTGAAAACAAATGCATATAAGAGTGAATCTGGTCTTTACCGTATGGGGGCTTGCTGAGGTTGAGACACAGCAGGTGATACGCTTTGGGACAGTCTTTCCTGTCACACATCACCAGCTCTCCTCCCTCCCCACAGCAAAAACAGAACAACTCGTGTGTGTGTTTGCCCTCCGGCCTCAGCTTTCGCTTCTTGGGTTTCAGCTTGGCGTTCCTGGCCTTCTCCTCCTTCTCCATCACCACAGCACTCTGGAGGTCACATGATGAAACGAGGAAATAAAAGAGGTTAGAACAACTTTCAAAGTCACCGTTGCTCTCGTGTTGGAGCATAATGCTGGATTCAGGACGACTACGGAGTTAACTGTCCACACCGTTGGCTGCACCCCGAGGAACCCGGAGCAGTTGTCTGACCCACAGTGACAGGACATCCTCCTGTTGCCCACACAGTGCAGGTTGTAGTTGAATGTCAGCTCTGTGCCTGCAAGAGCCCCGAGAACCAGATCCCCACCAAATAGATGATCAGACTTCTTCTGGACGTGGATGTTACGGATAGAGAAGAACCTCTGTGGTACGAGCTAACTCACCTGACTCGATATCACAGAGTGCAAAGAGGCCGATGTGAACGTCTCCGTTCACCGTCCACTTCTGGGTTTCACAGTTTGGGCTGCAGCTGTGGTTCATGAAACGAGCCGAGTTCCCTTTTGGCCCAGCATCTATCACGCGATCCTACAAGGACACACGGACATGAGGAGACCAGGGCAATACACGCTCATCCTTAAACGACGCCCCTCTTTTTTTAAACCACGGCTCTCCCATGAACAAATTAACAGATTTTCGAGGTAACATCTCCTGTTTGCTCTGACTGGCCCAGGCAGCGCCTCTGGTGTTTACCTTGGTGAGGGTGAGCATGTAAAAGTTGGTCACGTGATTTTCATGGGCACGTTTGATTCGCTGCTGGCACTCCTCAGAGTCTATCACCTCTCCCACATATTCAGTCACAAAGTCCCCCTAACAAAAAAAAAAAGGAGCCATTAAGATTTCGAGCTTTTAAAAATGTAGCTGTGGATGTTTTGTGTTGGGACATTTTTGGGGGATGCGTGGTAAAACGACAGCCACTGCTTTTTATCTTCTTCCAAAAAAACATAAATTAATGAATTCTCTTTATATTTTTAAGGGGTGTACAGACCCTCCTGAGCGCCTGGTTTGTCCTGAGGCCCCAGCCGCACCCCTCTGTCTTTATCACCTCGGTTTCTGCGTACAAACGTTTGGAGAAGCACTGATTCTCACAGCCGTCGCCTGCAGGACACACCTAAGAGCAGCAAAGTGAAGAGAAGAAAAGTCAGCTTTTTTTATTGACACCTATTTTGCCTATTTTAGCCATTTGCTACAGCATTAAAATAAAAAGCACGAGCTCAGACCTGGGGATGACACTCGTACTGCAGCATGCGGTTCAGACACTGGGAGTCGAGGCTGCAGGGATGCTCATCTGATGGCCTGCAGTTGCATCGTGGGATTTCTGACAAATCAGCCACGTGCATCTGCACCTTCCCCACTGGCTTGTTTGACTTTTAAAGGGAAAGAAAAAAAAACAATAACAGAATGACTGAATGGACATCACATTTAAACAATCGGCATTAAAAAAAAGAAAAGAAAAGGACATTACCTTGATGATTTTGTAGGGTGGAGGTTTGCGAGAGTTGCGTTCTTGCTCCAGCGCCTCCTTGCTCTCCCTCTGAGCCTTAAGCTCCTGAAACCGCCGAGCTGCTTCTTCCAAAGCTGAAACATCAACATGATCTCAAAATAAACACTTCTCCTTCATTTTGAAAGGCTAGAACCAGGACAGATCGCTCTTTGAGAACGGAAGAAATTTCCTTGGCAGAAGTTACCTTTCTTGAAGGTTTTGTTGATGTTGATCTGACCCGTTACAAAGTTCTTGTCATTCTCCACGTAGGGGAAGACCCGACCCTGGTTGATCCAGTAATAGTCGTGGGAGCCAAAGAAAAACACGGGGAAGTCACCAATATCGTGGCGAAGGCTCTGAATGTTTGACGGCACCAGGCGAGGGTTGCAGATCTCTGCTGGCCACCATCTGCCCCACAGAGAGACATCGTGTAACAACAAAATGCTGGCAAACGCGTCAACAAAAAAGATTCCAACCAAGTATGTGGAGCGTGTAAGCCCATTCAAAAAGAAAATTAAACTTCTTTTTAATTCATGTCATCATCGGACTGTTGTGTCAGGTCCAATTTCATCTACTCAGAAGTTTTGACTGATACTCTGCCTTTAATACCTTTTGAAGTCATTATCAATGTGTTGGCTGGTCTTAAAAGATACTTATGCAGCAAAAATAAGTATGAGGATGAGCGAACACCGGCCAATGCATCAGTTGATGCATAGGCCGGTTTTAAACTGGGAGTGTGGCATGTGCAGAATAATGTCATTTTTCATGTGGACTCGCATGTCAGCAGATCAGAATATCTCCACCGTCTGCGCGTTAGATTTACATCTGAGACAACTTGAGTTTTGGAGTGGTGCCTATTTAGTTATTTATTTAACATGGAAGGTAAATGTCATGGAAGCAGTTGGTCACCACATTAACTTCAAACATGCAACATACCCTGTACAGATTATAATAGATGTTTACTGCTAAATCATCCAGTTGCAACGTAATTGCTCTTAATTTCCAACCTGACACTTTGATCTGTTCTTTTTTTTTTTATTTGATATTTTTTCACAAATCAATCTACGGATGACACAGCGCCTCAACTGAGAAGCTGATGGCTGTGGAATACAGCAATGCTCTGATCAGCAGCTCCACATTGCCTGCGACGCAAATTTGCTGAACAGGTAATTTCTTCTTTCAGTTCATTGTTCAACCCAGAGTCAATCGAGTGTTAATTTTCCATCAATTTGTATAGATCGTGGGGCCCATTCTTTGCATTTCATTTACAGCAAGATGATGACGACATGGGATTTAAGAATGTTGTTTGGGATAGTGGGAACATGTCAGCTGACAACAGTGCGACAGCACAGAAGAATCAGAATGTGTCTACTTAGGCTATAAATTTGGTTGGTTCGGGTAATATCACGAGAATTTCTTGCCACCACAGACAAAAATCAATTTTGATGTGACCGTACCACATGCCGACAGATAAAAAACCCCTCAGCAGACTTTAAACAGTGCTCGCTGCCTACCTGTAGTTGCCAAGTTTGACCCAAACAATTTGTTTGTAGTGAGGTTTCTTCCCTGCCCTGCAATCACTGCAGGACCACGCGCCCTCGGGCATCTCCATCTCCAGACATTCCGGGTGGAACGAAGCTGGGCATGAGTCGCAGCACAGCAACTTGCCTCCTACAATTGTATGGATGTAGACATGTTTGTGTGTGTGTGTGTGTGTGTGTGTGTGTGCATGCGTTATGGAGCGTGAGTATGCAAAGAGAGGAGGAGTGTATGATTAGGGTGATGCACCTTAACACCTGGACAAACTCTGAATCTCATTTGCAGACAAGCCCAAGAAACACACAAACCCTACAAAAAATCAAATCTGAATTTTTCAATATCTCATGTAAAATGGTGCTGTTCCTTTGAAAGAGACATTTGTATCCAAAGCTGCCAGAGTAGCATTTGGTAATCATCATGAATAAAAAGCTTTTTGCCTGAATGAGGGTTCCTGTGGCAGCTGCGCTACATGAAAAGGCCTAAAAAAAATTGGTTGTGAAACGCTGAGTATGGTTCTCAGGTAAGTATCGGCTTCTATTGCAGCAGTAACAGCATGTCTGGCAATCAGATTCAGAGCACTGTACCAAGACCATTTTATGGGGAGTACATGCGGCAGTGCTGGCTAAAGTCAGCGGGCAAGTTAGAAATTAATCAGGGTTATACTCAAATGACACATTATTTGGCAATAAGCAGCCATGCAGTCCTGCCGGGGAAGCAAACCCACCCGATCACATGTCACATCCCGCACAGACCAGCTTGCATGGAATCATGGTACCATTTAGAAAAATGCATTTGAATCAATTGGAAGCCTAACACCAAAATGAAGAAGCAATTTCACCGCTTTCATCCTGGGAATTCATCGTAGCTTCTGTGTACACAAAACTAGTCCCGATTGAATTGCATTCCATTCAAGGCAGGTCAAAGCCGCAGAAGCTGCTGAAGCTGCTGAAGCGGGGAGGCAGAACGCCTCCAGCAGTGGGGAGAGCCACAAACCACCACTGGAGCTAAAGCAGAGCGTCCTCAGTCGGGTTTCGGGGCGACTGGAAGTTTGTGTTTTCCGGGCAGGAAAATTCAAAGGGTTACACTTTTTTTGCAAAAAGATTGATGGTTCGCGCTCAGCCCAATTCAGAATGAGCCTCATGCAAGAGTCACGCTTTCTACACGGGGAGGTGACACATACAGGCGACTGCTGGCTTTTCAAATCCACACAGAATAAAAGATAAGGAAATTTGTGAGAAGTCAGAGTATGTCACCCACTTTGTTACAACATTTTGGCTAATATCATATTGGATCCAGAAACTAGCACACACATAACCAATGGAATCGAAACCTAATGACCATGACGGGAAAAATGTAAATAACAGCCTGTCATTAGATGAACTGACATACTGAAACAGAATATGTCTGCATTTCTGTGCCATTACAAGGCAGACAGATTTGAATATATGCATATCAATGGAACCACTTAAATGCCTTAAAGCCTTTTCTTTTACGGTGTGAATCTTAACGCAGGCTAAGGTTTTATGCAGGTCACTTGACCTCAGCTGAAGAGGCAGGGAGAGTAGAGGAGCATTCCCTCTTTCTTTCCATCTCAGGGCAGGCATGAGACTTGATCATTCTCTGATGTGGAGTCGGTTGCTGACTTAAAACTCATTCCTTTTTAACCATAACACAATAAATAAAAGACATTATGCTAATGAAGCCGACACAGGGAGCAGGTGGTGTTCATAAACCTGACAGGAGCCGCACGTCTTTTTCACAGCAGCAGACAAAATAAACCTGCATAACAGGAAACGTACTGGAGACAAAAATGACATTACCAAGGATTCTGCTCCAGTAAAGCGTCACATTAAGTCACTCCAGTTAAGACAGAGGCAGCAGGCTCAACACCAGGCAGCTCGCACAGCTGTCTGCAATTCACGCATTTGCTTTTCCAACTTCTAAAACAGAACAAGCTCCGTGTTGTGACTCTGACTTCTCAAATACCAATTTAAAAATGAAACGTTTTGGGGATTTTAAATCCCCCAAAAATAAATGATAATAAAAATTCTTGCATGAGGCCCACTGTTATCGTATTGAACTTGGCTGAAGTTACTTTGCGCAATTCTGGGTTGAGGAGTCAATTAATCACGAACCTCAAGGCTTTGAAATCAAAGATGTGCAAAAAAAGGGAAACTACATCAGGAATGGGAGCAGGCACGACACAAACACAAACCAGTGGGACAAAGGAGAAAGAGAAAAACTGTTCAATTACCTTTCCCAACATTCTTTTTGGTAGCTGACGAAGGAGAGGGAATCATAGGTAATTTCAACTCAGCACGATTTGACTCAGTCAGAAGGTAGTGGGACTTATAGGCATATGAACTTAATATGGTGTCAGTAAGGTCTTGCACTAACAGCCCTACACAAGACACACAGGAAGAGACGGGGGTGAGCCGCAGTCAAACTCTCAAATTACCCAGAATTCACAAAAAGAGAAGCACAGATGCACAGCCTCACACACGCACACACAGTTGTAAGACAAAAGTAAAACAAAAAGTGCGTCCCTACACACGGAGGCCATGTGCACTTAACGTAATGTTACATGTCAGATCTAAACCGGACAAAAGTTGTTGTTTTTTTGGTAGGGGGGGGTTGTTTCTTCCAGAGCAGCCTTCAATAGAGAAGCGATCCCCTTAAAGTGGAGTGCCGGGTAACAGCTGCAGCTATTCATATTTTAGGGCGCTGCCATAATCCAGATTTGCCAGTATTCAGTAGAAACACCATCCAATGTGAAGCATATCGACATAGACTCATGGTCAGATTCAACCCCCCCGCCCAATGAAATGTTACGTTCAAAAAGATGAATGCGCTACAGTGATGGAGGCTGACTTTCTGGCCCTCTAACGAGAGGTGGAAGGATAAAGCAAACCCATCACCAGAGGTGGAGTTGGGGAGGGGGGAGACGTCACTGTTTGATCTTGGCTTTATTGGTGGCGTTTTAGTGTCGGCGGCTTTGAACGCTTACCTCTGGCGCACAGGAAGCACCATCCCACGTTGATGGGGGAGGTGAGGAGGCCGTTCCTCTTGGCGCTGCCGTGGTTGCTGCAGATCATGATGTGGTGGGTGAGGATGACGCTTCCAGCCGCCATGCAGCCGTCGCTGGTGTGGTAGGCCAACGGACAGCGGATACAGCGAATCAGACGGCCTGGTGGGGAAGAGGGTCATCAGATCTAAATCCGTCACTCCCTACGGGCAGCTCTGGCTTTGGATGAGCCGAGAACGTTTGTCATATTAGTCACTTTGTTGGTGCGGCACAGTTACACAAGTTATTGTTCTTTTTGACCTCACTGCAATCTTATCGAGGAAAAATGTCACATGGCACTTTTTTGACTTCAGAAACTCAGAGACAATTTCTTTAAATGTCAATTTATCTCCTTAGGCCAAGAACAGATGGAATGGGAAAACAATGCTCCGCATTTGAGGCTTCGGTCAGAGTTGAGGTCCGTTCCGGCTCTACCTTTACTGGCCCGTTGCAGGTCTCTCTCCAGGCAGCAGGCTGCACAGCTGTGCTGGGGGCAACAGAAGCCCCCCCCAGCACTGCTGGTGGTGCCCGGGAGCTTCCGGACACACTCCTCGTGGTAGTAGCACCCGCATCCAGACACGGAGCAGCGGGCCACTTCCTGACCCGCCGTTTTACAGCTAAAACAAGGATGGTTACCTGGCAGAGGAACGACACACCGTCACATTCAGGGACAAGCTGGGCTTGACGGGCGGGACAGTGAGGAGGGAGTTGTCAGGTTTCCTCACCGTTTCTACACTCTGAGCAGGTGTATCTGCCTTCAGGGGGGGAGGACAGACCCAGACAGTCCAAGTGAAACTGTCTGTTGCAGTCCCCCTCACACACCACTAAACCTTCTCCATACACCTCACAGATCTTAAAGAAAAAAAAAAGGAGAAAGCAGAGAAATTTGGAGATGTCATTCTAAAACATAAACGTACAAGCTTCTTGGCGGGAAAAGGCTCTGCTCTCACCTGGCACACGGTGTCTCTCTTGCCGGTGCTGCTGTCCTGACGGGACAAACCAGAGTCCACCGACTGAGTGTCGGAGGCGTCTGCATCTGCAGCAGCCGGACTGTCGAGACTCTTCCCAAATAAACCCTGGAGCACAGACACACCAAGGCATCATTATCAAATTTGGAGACGGAGATGGAAAGGTAAGACATAACATGGTAAATATTTCCTTTAAATATTCCGCTCGTAGCTATTTTAGCTTTAAAGATATTCAGAAACAGTGTTGATCAGTTTAAAGAACAAAAAGGCAGCACTGAAACCTAAAAAGAAGACATAAAGATGATAATAACTATCTTACAAGTTCTGTTCCTCATTTGCAAGGAAAGCAAATATTGTATTTGTTTTTATTGATCAGAATTTTTCCTTTTGTGAGGGGGATAATGCACGTTCTTTGTGTGTGTTGGGGGTGCTGGAGTCTACCTGTGGGTCACTGAGACCTCTGGAGTCCGAATCAGAGGTGTCTCTGTACTGGGATGAAGCCATCTCCACGTCCGTAGACGCCCTGCTTCGCTTCTTCAGGGGCTTGCACGCGTCTGAGATCTCACTGGCCCCTAAAGGTCACACAGATTGGATGGACTTGGTTCTCTTTCAGACACCTCGAAACAGAGATGTAGAGCAGGTGTTAAAAAATAATCCCCTACCTTTCTGTGAACCCGTCCTCGGTGTGGTCTCTGGAGCCAGCTCCGCCTGTGAGGAGGATGGATGTGTGGTGATCTGTTTCATTTGTGTATAACACCTGATGCTTTGAGGCAGAAAATATTGATGTACAAACAGCTTTGGAGCTGGTGATAAAAATGTTTTGTTTTTTTGGCATCTCAAATTCATTGGCAGCATTTTAGGAACGGATGAGCCCACGCAAGAGGAGCCGCTGATATTTTTACAGCCGCTAATAATCTGGGTCGTATTCTAACTTTTTCCTCATTGTTTTTAGCATTAAAGGATAGAGCACTGAATGCAAAGTGGTCAATGAAGCAGGGATAATGAAAATTCTGAGTGAACTGCAGTATTTTTGGTGTAAATGGCGGGTTATCCGAGGATAACCGATACCTGCTCCTTCTTGGTCTTCTTCTTAGGGACAGCGTCGTTGCCTCTCTCCGACTCGGACTTGCTCCTGACTGACCGACGCTGCAGCTTCCTCTCCTGAGAACCTGAAAGCACAAACAATATTGACTCCCCTTTCACACTGACTGGGCAGAGGGTTTGTAGACGTGAGGTTAGATTTGCTCACCATGTGGACTACTGTGCTGCGATCCAGGGGAAGATGTCGGCTGAATGACTCCCTCCTCGCTCCTCCTGCTGGCGGGAGAGCCTCTCCTCTCATCCCCGTCGTCCTCCCCTTCATCCCCCTCTTCCTCCTCTTCTGGACTGGGCTCAGGTTTAGCTCTGCTGTCCTGCTGACACCAACATTTGAATATGACCTCAAAGACATCAGACATCTGTTCTCTCCAAGTATGTGGAGCAACGCTGACCTCAGGTGAGCAGTATCCCAGGTCGGGCTGTCGGCCTTCTCCCTCTACTCTCTCCTCCTTTTCCTCTTCCTCCTCCTCCTTCTTTGGGGACGGGGCTGCTGCCTTTTTCTGGAGGAGGGGCCAGTCGCACTTGGTGATCTCCACGTTCAGCCTCTTCATGGTGATGGAGAGAGGCAGCAGCTTTCTTGCGGCGGCCGTCTTCCAGGCCCGGACTGGAGGCGGCGAGTCCTGCCGCACGCGCTCGTCGCCGCCAGCTTTCTGTTTTGGCGAGGCCGTCTTGCGTGGATCCTCCATCTGGTTCTTGTCTTCACTCGAGGGCTGGGAGTTTGTGCTGTCGTCTGTGTTGGAGATGCTGCACTGTCTCCGCGGCAGCAGCCTCCGCGGCGGCTGCTCTTTGTCTGGGGACTTCACGCTGGCGTCCTCCCTCTTGCTGACGGAGCCGCTGCAGCGCCGGGTGCGCTTCTCAGCTCTGATGTTGGGTTTCTTGCACGGGGGGCCTTCGTTTGGGTCAGGGTCAACGTAGATGAAGGTGTAGTTGTCGATTCGCTCCTGGCGAGTCATGACGAAGGCATCCTCGGCATGGCCGACACCCACCTCCCACTGAGACCGCTCCCGCTGAGGAATAGGTTTCATAAGCTGGAGAGGAGAGAGAACGTCAGTTGCTTCCAACTTCTGAGCAGGCATCAACTCTGCTTTAAAGACAGAGCATCATCTGAAGCAGGGACAGTCAAAGTATGGTTTCCCCAAGCTTTAGAAAAGTTTACAAGTCTCAAAGATTGTTTGTCTATTTACTACTGAAGGAAAAATATGATCTAATTTCGAGTTTGATGGCTGAAACATTCCCCAAGGCTGGGGGAAAAAAGTTATGCTAAAAATAAATTAAAAAAACATGACAAACATTTGGAACTTGTTTAAACTGTTCAGTCAGTCAGCTGAAAGAACAGAAGATCTCTCTGATAAAAAAGTTCCTGCATCTCCTCCACATTTTCAAATGTTTACAAATTGAGGTTAAAGATTCAAAACTTGTGTTGGTGTCACAAATTCCAACATTTTCACACTGTTATAAATGACATATTCTTTCATATTTATGGAGTTTCCAATTCACTGCACCGTGCTGATATTTAGAGCTCTAACAGTTTCCCCTCTTCAACGCTGACGTTGTTGTATGACAGTAAATCTAAGCTAATTTCGTCTCATTTTCTTGCTTCACTGATACAAAAAAAAATTGATGTCCTTTGCTGTCAGATAACTGTTCAGTAAAAGTAACTTAACGTTCATTGATGGATGAGCCACAAGACTTCACCACTCGCACAGATTTTGATTTATTGCTTTACAGATACATAGGCTCCTAAATTTAGAGGAAAAGCCAAAGTAGTATAGTTTGCTTCTGACTACACATCAAAACTTTGATACATTTGAACATACTTTGCTCCTCTCTACGGCGTTTGTGGTTTTGCGCAGCGTCTCTGCCTGAAGCTCGTCGAACTGTGTCTTCCCCATGTACATGACGATCCTCTTCTCGTGGATCCACGCCCGCTCAGCGACGCTGCCGAAGAACTGGACGTGATACTCCCTGTGACCTGCGCAGCGGAGAGGGGAACATGATGCCTCATTTCCAGCCCAGAAATATTTGAAGGTGGACAGAAAACGGGCTGGGTACGGGCTTACCTCTGGTGTTGATGCGAGTGTGGACCTTCATCTGTGGGTCTGAGGAGACCATGCAGGGCCACCAGGGGTAGGTGCCCACCTTTGACCACACAAGATCCCCGATGACAAACTCCTTACAGAAGCCTGTCTCTTGGATCACTGACGGATGATGAACTTTAGGAACCTAAATATGAACACAAACAAGTTGCCGTGTGTTATCAAAGGGTAAACAATTTCAAGAGCTAAATGTTTACAGCAAACTACAATGACTTTTCTTCAGAGGACTCAGACTGCGGGCTCTTGCCTTTGGCGTCTTTGGCTCAGTTTTGATGACGGTCTTCTGAGGTTTCTCTGTCTGGGCCGGCGGCGTTTCTCTTGACTGGGGCTGGTCGTGGGCGTCCTCTGTCTGACCCGTTGTACCTGCCTGCGTTTGGCTGGAGTCCAGGCTCTGTTCCTGAACCTGCAGCTGCAGCCTCGCGCTCTTTTTCCTCTTCTCCTTCTTCCTCTCGTGCCTGCGCTGCATCTGAGCGGCCTCGCTCTTCTGAGTCTCCTTCAGATTGGGAGAGGAAAGCAGTTGTGACGACACATCAGTGAGGGTCAAAGACTGAGAACCCTGACATCCTCCGCTGTGATGCTGTGTATAATATGACTTAAAGCCAGCTAAGATACACACAGGAATAATTCCAAATTCATTTTCACAATACTTTTTGGATATTAGCATGAATTGTCTTTTTTTGGGGGGGGGTTGTTCTTCAAGATGAAATTAGTGTTGTTGATCACAAAATGTATTTAAAAAATAGTTTATGGCTATAAAAGGTGACGAGTTGGTGGCTTTACAATGCTATATCAAATATTTGGCTCAACAGCCTTTTGGTGATTGTGTTTTCTTAGTAACAAGCAATTTAAAAACCAAATACAATGAAGTGCTGGAATGAATAAAAACGTTTAAAAGGGAAAATGTATAATCATGACATGCTGTGGTATGATCAGTTACATTTTCTCTCATTTATTGTGTTAAAACATGACTGAAACAACACCTGTGGACACTGAAGATGATTTCTCTCATCACAAGACAATAATAATGACATGTAAAGCTAAAAAAAGAAAGGTTGAGTGTGTTTAATGAAGCCCTAAAAATAAACCTGCTTTAGAGAAGAAAAAAAAGCTAAGTCAAGAGAGGATTGTAGCTTGTGATCACAACATGGAGAATGGAAAAGATTTCACAGTAAGACATGAAACAAACAGTGATTTATGTGGGTATCTGCACAGTATTTTAAATCTAAAGAAACAAACAACAAAAAATAAAGCACATCATCAATAAGTTGGAGCACAGCAGAACTAAATATCTGTTAGTTTGTTCACCATCCAGCCTCAAATGAATGCCAGAAACATTAACTACTACATAACAAAAAACTGTGGCTTTGTCTAATCCTAACCCTAGCTGCTTCACATAGGTCTGCGCAGTGTGAAAAGTAAAACACTACTTTACTAGAAGTAAAACACAGCCAATCCCAGCGTTCTCCAGTAAGATTACTTATTAGAAATTAATAAGAAAGCAAAAGACTGCCCTCCTAATTTTAGCAAATGAAGAGAGCAACTTCAGTATTACTTTTATTTAAATAAGATGGACAATTAGCATAATTCTTTGCCCATTTATCCTGTCGCTCAGACCTTACAGAAGTCAACAGAGATCAGAGGAAGGGACTGAGGTGCTGAATTTATGCAGCTTTTTACACGTGTGACACAATTTCCTCTACAGTTATCTGCGTCGCCCATTAAGAACTGATCATAAAGCGGATTGTCTCAGCTTTAATAGACCTACGTCCTCTAAATATAAGAAATAAAGACCATTTATGCACTTAGAAAAGGAGAAATGTTGCGAATGGAGACATGCTCACAGAGTGTATCTGATGGCTGGACAACACGTCGGTGGGCATGCATGCATTACCTGCAGTTCTTGCAGCAGATCTCCACACAGTGCAGATTCAAACAGCTCTTTACCATTCTGGTACGTTTTTATGATCTTCAGCTTAATCTCTGGGGAGCTGGTTTTCTTCAGGACGCCACCAGAGGTGTTGGACGGGGCGAGAGCGGGTTGAGAGGAGGGGGTACTGTCCACGAGGGAGGGCGGAGGGCTGGACGAGGGCAGGTGGAGCGGGGGGGGAGGGGGGAGATTGTGTGTCATGATGTGTGGCGTCTGGGACAGGTGATGCTGGGGGGGCAGCGGAGGCGGGGGAGGACTCTGGGGCTGCGAGTGGGTCTGTATATGAGGGGGGTTTGAGTGGAAGGGGTGAGTGTGGTGGTGATGTAGGTGATGGTGGTGGAGGTGTGGGTGGTGTGTGGGCAGTGGGGGAGACACGGGAGACAGGGGCCTGTCCTGGAGACCGGGGCCTCTCAGGACCGTCCCCTCCCCCGGGAGGAGGCCGTGCTCCCCGTAGCCCCGGATGGCCCCGTAGCCGTTGGCCGAGCCGTTGGAGAACTGAGAGTACATTGAAAACTTTGCCTGTGGCTCGTAGATGCCCAGGCCTGGCGGGTAGCCATTGGGGACCTGTGGCATGTCCTCCGAGGCTGACGGCGGGTAAGGAAACTCTGCATCCAGGGCAGCATCATAAGAGGGACCACCATCCTCTCCCGGGTCACTGCCGGTGTCGCAGGTGCCTTCCTGTCTGATGTTGGCTGAGTCAATGAGCTGAGGGGGTTGCTGAATTGTATTTCCCATGATCCCTTGCATGAAAGAGAAGGAGAAATCCATTGTTGGGCTCCTGCATCCTTAACTGTCTTTTTCTTTGACTGGACCTGTTGATGGAAACGTGTGACACGGTAGGACTCCGGTTAACACAAGTAGATCATCATTTGGAGAGCATAGCTAAAAAACCGGCTAGATCCTCACACCTGTAACTGTCAGGAAAAGTAATGAACAGCTTCAGATTACAGATATCAACTCCCATGTGTTTCTGCAACTTCCCTGTACGATCACATGTTCACATGTCCATCAGATACTTTGTAGAAAAAAAGATTACAAAGTCATAAACCTGCCACCCATTACTGCTCCTAATACATCAAACAGGATATTGAAAATTATTACAAAATAGCCTGCACTGTAAGATTTGGATGGGAGTGAACACAGAAGGTTTTGAATTCATTCTTGGTAAAACATCCAAAGATAAAGCACCTGTCCAATTCAAACTCAGGTCCTAATAAACTTATACCAAACAATTTTACAAGTTTATTTAAACAACTGGGAGGTGGTTTGAGTTGATAATCCCGGTTCTGACATCTACAATATTATCTTAAGTTTATCTTTCTTTCTTTTGTTTAAAATAATAAGAACTTTTATGGACTTGATACGCAAAGAGCCAAGGGTATGAAAATAATCCCATTTCACCTGTTCTGTGTAAACATGATATCTGCAACATGATCGGGACCTGGCTGAAGCTCAAATGCAGGTAATCACGGGGCTCCTAAAGGGGTCAGCTCGGTTTGGCAAATGTTTGGGGTCAATCTGTGAAGTGAAATTGTACTGTCCAATTATCAGCTAAAAACAGAGTTATTTTCCCCAAATCTAAAAAAAAGAAGGAAAAAAAAGATAAAGTGCAAAACCTATTGTTTGATCAGCGGGCTCTCTCTGACATCCGTGAACGCAGCGCCTCTCTCAACGAACTGTACATGATTTAGTGTTTTTATTACATCAACGCAAACACATGGTGGCCTGCTACCACAAACAAAACAAAGAGCTGGTGCCAGCGCCTGCTTTGCTCTTTTATTCTTGTCATTTTTAATACCTGCGAAGAGCAATTAATCAGGTTAACGGGGTTAAGTGAATTGGACTAATCCACTCATTGTGGTTCAATTTGTGAGCACACTCAGGCTGAGCACCAGAGGTGAATAATGTAAACATCCATACGGTGTCAATTAGCGGTCACTAGCTGCTCCATACCGAGGCGGAAAATCTTTTCTGGTTTGTAGAGGTTGTTGGAAACAATAACACCTGGCCGCAAACGCATTGTTTGGGCTAAAAAAATACCGACTGCGCAGACAAAAAATATTTCACTCAGAAACATTGTAGCTTCCTGCGCTGCTAGCTTCAAGCTACCTGGCATCAAAGGGGCCATAATGGAAAGAGGGGGGCTCTTTGAAGAGTCAGAAATGACTATGTAAAACAATAGGTGTAAAGGGCTTCAAACAAACGCGTCTAAACGTTTCCTTTAATCCATCTGTGCCTGACACACTTGGATAAAGATGAAAGGACAAGCTAATGTGGGCTAGGCTAACGTTCTCCTGCCAATATGGCTGCCTGTGCCCCTTTAAATCAAATTGTCTGCCGTGATTATACCTCCATCACTGGCGGTTCGGAGGAAAATGTGCCCCGAGCAAGGTAGCAACGAGTAAAATACCGTCGGAGCGGAGGCAAGAGGAGGGCTAGCAACACTCAGAAACGGCAAACACGCTTGTCGCCACACAGGAGAGCAAAGGAGCAGCACAGATTTTGATGCCGAGTCGAAAGATGCAGAGAAATAAAAAAAGATGCCAATACCTTCAGCGTGTCCCATTCTAAACACATACACCAGCCTGCAACGGTTCCTCGTAATATCTATTGGGCAGGAAATAAATGAAAAAAATAAAAAAATACTGTTGACAAAGCTCAAGCCTTCCTTTTCGTATTAACGCAATTCTCAACAGAAAGGAGGAGGAGGAGGGGGTGTTACGCTATCTGGTCGCTACCCAATCCCAAAGCCCGGCTCGTCCTCAGTGTAAGGACCCCAGCATTTTGTCAGAGCCCTGTCGGAGACAGACACGTTCAGTTCTCGCCTCTTCCTGTCTCCTAAACGATAACCTCTAGCTCCCTCTTCCTTCGACTTCTCGGAAGCGCCCTGCTCGCCTTTAAGGCCCGTTAGGTCCTCGGTTTAGCGCCAGACCGCACGGATCCGGGCTTCAGGGGTCAGCAGAGGCACCCCGGGATGTGTAGTTCACTGGAGCCCGCATTTGAGCAGGAAAACCGGGACTAGGACATCACGCTCATCTGCCAGCATTAACTCTTCCATCTACACCTAGATTAAATAAGAAATTGATGAGTCATCCATTCAGATAGGATTTATTAAAGGCAAAATAGAAAACCAAATCCAACGGAGAATTGTATTAGTCTTATTCTGCATGACAGATCAATTGTAGTTGTTTAGGTGTTTGGCCTTAATACGGAACGCCATGTAATAACAGTAGTTAACGTTTGCACAGCGGTCTCCGATCGGCCTTCAAACGCCTCCTCGCCTGATCTGCAACTGAGAGGAGCTGAACAGAAAGACCTCTCACTCTGCTTTAGTATGTTGCAGTCTCAATGCTCGGCCCTGACATTGGTGTGGATTTTTATATCACGAGCATCTGCAAACTAAGCACCGTGGCCCTGATGTCCTAACATGTATTTATCTGCAATTGTGGGATGTATCATAGATGGGTATAAGTCAGTAGTGCCACAGAAATGATATTCTCCTAAATGCCCCGAGTACAAAGTTTGAGACTGACAGCATGAAGAAATGATGATAAATACTCAAAACGCATGGACTCTGCAAGATCGGAGGCAGACATGTGAATGGGACTGGAAGGCTCTGCTACAGTGTAGGGGACATGGATAAGCAAACTATATCCAGAAGATGCTTAGATCCTTGAATAAGTGTAGTGTTAGGTGGAAAAAATTGCACAATTCTCTCTTAAGAAGTTATTTTGACAAATGTATCATTGTGCTTCACATTCATGAAAATATATCCTTCATTTAGCCAGAACACAGCTCAACAGTTTGTCTTTGAGCAACAGATTAATGATGACTTTATACTGTTTATGACATGTGCATAACCCTCTACTGGCCAATTCTCTGTTTTATTTTATGCTCAATTACTCATTCAGTGTTCATAAATGTATAATAATTATATAGAACATATCTATATTTTATGATATAGCGTGAGTTTTTATTTGTTCTCAAAATATCAGCATGTAAGGATGCACTTTATACAACTCTTACCTCTCGTAAACATAACAGAGTGATCCATCTTCTCATCTCTAGACGATCTTGGGTCTCGGCACACAACATTCGCGCATGTATCGCGTGACCTTTGAGTGCGGCTGCCTGGGACGGCTGCACACGGTCAGCGGCGGAGGGACGACGGATACGGAGGCGATTTAACGAAATAAACCCACCGTAAATGGGTTTATCACCACAGGGGACGTTTCTCTCGCCACTCCCGTTCACCTTGACAGATTGTTTTGGATGGATTACCTTTTTCACGTCTCACCGAAAAGCCTTACAACGCCCAGTCAGCAGCGGCAGCCATAGCTCGGTCCTTGACGCTGGAGGTTAGTGAGCTCCATTTCATTTCTGGAACTAGCTAACTCTGCAACCGCCGGATGGGCTAGCCTAGCTGGCTAAGCTAGGCTAGGCTAACCGGCTAGGCTAGCAAGGGGCTCCGGCTCGTATGACGTACTGGCAGGATCACGGTGTGCCGGTATTGTTTCTTATTTCTCCTGTTGAGTTTATACCTCCTGACATGTTTAAACACTGTCTAACCAAGCATGGCTACGACATTTTCTTGATAATTTTAAAATATATTTTGAATTCATGACATGCAGGGAAACGTTCATGGAAAATTACCAAACGTTGCGGACGTACGACGGAGCTGAGTGTCGTGTTACATCTGAATAATAATCAAGGCAATGCGGAGCAAGGACACTGAAGGGAGGGTTACACTTTTAAACAGTCTGCTAACTTTGTGTAATATGGAGAAAGTGTTAAATGTCACGCTTGTAACTGATACCGGTGCACATTCTTGTCCTTACGTAACGGCGAGTACAATGTTTGGTTGTGTTGTTGCCGGTGACAGCTCCGTCGCAGCATGTTATGCTAACTTAGTTGACTCCACAAACAGCCCGGTAGTTTGTTTGGTTATGTGAGCGGTTACGCGGATGCTGCTGTGGTCGGTGGGTCTTTCCACCGGCCTGCAGCAGCAGCACTAGCATGTGTCTGAGCTGTAACCTGACCCCCGGCTGCTCTGTCTCCGTGTGAACTCTCAGCAGAACCCCGCGGCCCGCCTCTGCAATGGCCGTCTTCAGTCAGCAGGTGCTCCTTGCAGTCACACGATCCAGGTAAGACCTCAGCGCCGTGTTCCAGCCGGCGGTATTGTGTAAGCATGGGAGGAGTGGGAGGGGAAAAGCACGCTTGGGTGTGTTTTTATGGCTCAAACGTGAACGATAACAAGCAGCCTGGTGCAGCCCAGCCAAAGCCCTGTACCTCATGACTTCTTAGGCCCAAACAGAGCCAGGGACTCAGGACACAAGATTAGAAAAGACAACAGGGTTTCTTTGTGGGTAGGGTAACTAAATTATCTGGACCCAGTCACGATCAATTGTAAAATAAATGCTGGATAGGGTTGTTTGGATGCTCTGTTGTTTTAGAAGTGTTTTAGTAAAGGTACATTCCATAGTATATATGTACCATGGAATTTCAAAATGTTTTCATTTGAAAAAGCCAGTTTAATTTATTGCAATGTACCCAGTTATCAGCTGAGAAATGTCAGACCCTAATGAGCGTTAGTGATGGTCACTGGGCAGGGACTCGTTTTCTCGTTGAAAAGGTTTGAGCAGCACACTACAGCCTCAGATGTTCAACCAAACAATTAATCTCAAGGAATTAATTTGCATTTTAGTTGCGTGTCACTAGCTTTGTGGCGTGAGGGA